AGGACCAGTGGGGGAGGGGGGGATCACAATCCATTAATCCAAAACTTCCTTTTTATGGAAGTCTCGAGTCACATGGCTCACTCAAGGACTCAAGGTTATTCTACTGTCATTTACAATGCAGGGTTGTATAATGAAATTCAGATATAGTTCTCGTAATGCTTGTAAAACAAAATAAAAATGGATCGATAAGTCATAAAAAATAATTTGTATGATGAAGTGCTGAGGAAGAATTGTCACAGCCTGAGGGAGGAAGCTGTCTTTGAGTCTGGTGCTACGGCAGTGGAAGCTTCTGTACCTCTTCCCAGATGGCAGCCGGGTGAACATGCTGTGGCTGGTGCGTGCTGTCTTTTAGTTCCCTTTGGGCTCTGCGCTGTTTGTAAATGTTCACAGAATAAAAAGTTACCCAAAAAAACTTTTGAGTTTGGGGTCCAACAATGTTAACAGGTTGGCCTTCAGTTAATAGCTTGTGTGGTTTAAATAACTCAGGACTTCAAGCTACACCACCTAGCTTAAGACGTGTCATTTGGCAACTTAACGCCGTGCACCGCGAGGGGTATGTTACCAAGCCACAGCCGTTCAGCTGCTGACCAGATACTGATATCTGTTAAGAGTATGTCCACAACCTAGTGCCGGAGAAAATGTTTACGCAGTGGTTTTTTTATGACTAGAAATAAAAAATAAAAAAAAGGTATTAATGACTAAATACCCGGTTACCAATCACTTGAGGATATTGTGGCTGTTTGTGCTTTCATACTCTGTTTATTCCAAACTACAGATGGTCTTTGAAAAATATATTAGTTATATGGCTATGAGATACATGTCTAAAGGAGATACATGCATTACATTTCACCCAGCTACAGCAAAGGATAACTCTGTTGATTCTACTTCATCTGAACTGTGATCTTACAAAAGAAGGCTCGTCTCTTTGACAGATCAAATTAAGAAAAACCCCTAACAATACAGTTAGATAAATTAATGTCACAAACTATGAAGCTCACTAAAATAAAAAGTGACAAGAAAATGTATTTCACTTTTTCAGGACTGACTGTAGACACTGAAAAAAAAAAAAATGCACCAAATCATGGCAGCAGGGTCAATCATTATTGGCCCTTATACACACACAGACACACACACACATATTTATATAACCAGTCATACAAAGAGCAACAGGGTCAGTTATCTGGACAACAAAAGAGACAAGAAAAGAGTAAAACAAGGAGGTTGTGTAAGAGCCAATAAAAAAGGTCAGGCCGGATTGAAATGTGTCCCCCCCACATCTATTTGTGAAACACTGCATTGCAGGGGCAGCTGGCTGCTTGTGGCAGGCCCAGATAAGAGCCTGTGGAGCCTTATGTTTGTCAGTGATAGAGGCTGGGTACACAACCGTCTAGAAGCGAGGGGACATGACATACATCTTCCTGCTATCGGCTCCTCAAACACTGTCAGGGTTATTGCCTCTGCCACACAGCCGCAGCACGCACCTAAAGCACATTTCACAAAGCTAACATGCCCTTCCTTTTCCTCCTGCTACTGTACCATGTGCTTGGGAAATGGTTTCAAAGTCCAAAAGTTCAATATTGACAGAAAGTGCTGCGTCAAATGCCTACAAATGCCTTTTAGTAGGCGCTGCATAAGCTATCAAATGCCAGTTACTATTTCGAGGGAAACGGCACACCGGTGAGCTTGGACGTAATGTTGCAGCATCTGCTCGCCACCACTCACACAGAAGATGGAAAATTCTGGTCACACGTGTAGCATAATAATGTTTGGAGAGCAGACGTCGAGGCTTTGTCAGACTAAATAAAAAGTGACCCCAAAACATATCCATGAACCCCTGTTTTATGATTACATACAGAATATAGGTTAGCCTGGTCAGTTGGGAGAAATAATTGATTTATCCATGTCTGAGTTAAAAACAGGACATGGTTTTCTCCATCCCTGACAGCTCTTATCACTTCTAATCTCATTCTGCAGCGCTCGTGGCCAAGGCACTTCAATTTTGTGTATTGACAGGCATATGAAAACAGTGAGATTAGTATGTCAAAGCACTAAACTTATTATAAAATCACCTGCCAATTCAATCATAATGATTATTTTAACTGAATTTATCACTTCAATTACCCATCCCCACAATTCTTAACAATGTGCAAGCCAATAATAATAAGTGATAACCCTCTGCATATATCATGACTTGCTCTTTCTACACTGATTATTCAGGTTTTTTTTAATATGGAAAACACAATTACACAAACAGATGACATCATCTTCATTAATTTAATCTAAACATCTACTCCCATCCTGACAGAAGTCTCATATTACATTTAATCTAGCAGATTCACTCATCTTGTTTGATGACTGCAACAATTACGATCGACCAGAAACGCATGCGAGGATTCAGCCTTAGCAGCCGTTTTACTATAAAAAAGGGTGTGAACGCTTACAAGTGTTGCTTAATAATTACAGAAATCTATGGAGCATTTCTATAAATAATTAAACAGATCGAAAACTGCATTGTGTTTTTTTAAATGTCCCGTTTTTACGAGCATTACTGAAACCTTTCAATGCAACAAAAACATGAATTACGGTCACAGATTTACTTGGTGTCCAGTGTTTGTCCACATAAAGATTATCTGAAATTAATGGATGACAACAGGTTCCAATTTTGTGTTTTGTATTTCGGTGGTGCGGTAACCCTTTTGTTTACATTTGATCACAGAATGAGCTTTTACAGTTCAGAAACACTCAATCGCAGTCTAACGCAGGAATGTTTTCACGAACTTGGCCAGCGACCTTCAGCTTGACCTCGGCAGGTAAGAACCGTCTGTTCCCACCCAACTTCAGACTTCACTCATTTTTGGGTTTCAAAATAGCAGATCACACAAAAAGAGTTGTTGATATATGACTCTCCGTCTGCTGTCAGAAGACTGCACAACAACAAAAAAACATTTTGATCAAGCATCCCAAAATTAGCCTTAGTTGGTTAGAGATGATTAAACTGTCCACTTTTTAAATAGGATGCACTCCATGAAATCAGGCCTGTGTTATTTAAAGAGGTCTTTAAAAATGGGTTAACTGTATTCTGCAAAAAAAATAAATATGGGGGGGGGGCCACATCCAAATTACCATGTCTCTTATTTTATCCAGTTTCACCGTCACATGGAACGGACCACCCTGTTTGTGGGTGGCTGTACTGACTCAAGCTACAAGACAAAAACTGCACATGAACCCAAGCTACCATTAGCCACAACAAACTGAGCCGTCTGCTGATATGAGCTGAACACAAACACCAACGTGCTAAAGATATATAGCTGCAATCAAGTACTTCCAGAACAACATTGTAAATATTTGCAGAAGACTTTATAGCTGGTTTGATGCAGAAATTGTTAAGACTTTTGTATTTTATGGGTTAGAGTCTTAAATTACATTCTGTCAGTGAGAAAGGAAAAAAAAAAAAAAAAGCCTGTGGATCATAATTTCTTTGTAGAGCAGCCACGAACAAAAAGCTGCAACACCAACCGGAAACGTTCACAGCAGGACGGCGAGCTCTGGCCGACCCAGGAAGACAAGCACAGGCAGAAAAATAATGTGCTGAATGAGAATTTAAACTGTTGCCTGGAGATGTTAGCTGCTGGCTATCACAAACAATAAAAAAAAGGGCAGCCTTTCAGACCAGAGCTCGAGGCTGCAGTGTCCGGATTTCACGTCTAGTGCGACTGCCAAAGTGACGAGCTACAGCTGTGAGCACGGTTCAGGGCCTCGTGCTGCTCCGACGGACCTGCAGAGTCACTGACTGTGTGCCTCGACATCCCTGATGCAATGTACTGAGGATAGGATTGTACATGTTTATAGCTCTAAATAATTCCCCACCTGTCACGATGGCGCTCCCCTCCATGTGACCATGAAACGGGTAAAAGTGCCGAGTAAAACTTGTTTTGTCAGAAGACATGTTTGAACATCACCGTTATGAAACTCACTAACTTGTGTCGGTGTACAGGCACTGGAGAGCTCTGACAGTTTGACAGCGCGACGCAAAGCTAAAAAAAAATGTTCATTTAAAAGTTTAAAAACCACACAAACAGGGTTGGTCATTTAACTTAACCTCTAACCCCAAAATGCCAGCTTTGCTTCATTGCTGTCTGGATGGAGTTTCTCTTCTTCAGCTACGTTTATTGATCTTGCCGTGCTCTTCCTTCTCGGTACTTGTTCAACTTCATAAACTCAAAAACACACACACACAATACCTCCACTTTCTACCTGCTCATACAACCTGCCCCACAGATCTCTGCCCCTCCACTCAGTCTTTATTCTCACTGTATACTCAGTGTGACCCCCCCCCCTCCCTCTCCTCCTTTTACACATCTATGTGGCCACACAAACTTTTTTTCCATGCACACTATTCGGACATCTTATCTTAGGTTACTTCAGAGTTACTTAAGTTTTGGTTATTATATAAAAGCAGACACACGTGTGTGTGGGTTTAAAAGAGGAAATCTCCAGGGGGATGAAAGCAAACTTGGTATTCAGTGTCTTAAGTAATAGAAGATAAGCAGACAGTTTACTCATTCAGTGCCATGATGAGTGTTAACAATGAACGTGACATTGCTTTCCTCCTCATCTAAGGGTCAAACGTTAACAGGACAAAGGTTTTGGGGGCAGCTGACACTTTGACCTTCAGTTAATTAAACACAGTAAACGTTAAAGAGCAACGTATCCAGGTGAAGTGATGTGCAGGTGTCGAGAGGACTGACTGCAGTATTGATCCAATGACAGTAGGAGCAGAGGACGTCCTTTATCAACAGCACAATAATTAGAAAACATTCATGGCTTTCAAGAAGGAGAGTTTAAAGCCAGTAGTCGGTGCACAAACCACAGCTACATCCCAAAGTTAACGAGCTTCTGAATATATTGACACAAACCAAATCAACGTCTGTCAGCTGTTGTGATTTCACGTAGAGCTACGTAGCAGCCATTAGCATTGTTAGCCTTAAACTTGAACTCACCTGTCCAAATTCTGCTGCATGACAACTGCGCTCTGTTCCGCCATTATCGTGAGAGAGAGAGAGAGAAACAAAACAACAAACCACCTCAAGTGCTCGTCTTGTTGCGGTGGAGCAGATTAAACGCGCTGTAGATAAAACATTAAAAACAAGAAAACACGCCTGTTAATTTGCTTGCAGCTGAGGTTGGCGTTAAAATTCACTCGCTAGCTGGAGGAGCTCACCAGCTACACGGGCCTTTGTGTTGACACGGAGCAAACGAGCCAGTTGTGTGGACGTAAAACTATTCTCCCGCGCTCATGGCAGATTAGAAAGCATTCATCAGCGACCGAGGCTCTAGTCTAAGTTAAAAAAAAACCCTCTTTAAATCGGCTACGGCCTCGTTTGTCACTAGTGTTATCGCGTTGGCGTGACCGCTTGACTCCATTGACTGGCCGTCTCTGAGGCAACGTAAAATAGCACGGCGGTGCGTGATTGCGTCATTAAAACAAGGACGTCGCCGTCCGTTCTCCTGTCATGGGAAATGTAGTTCCGTAACGCTTCCCTCCCTCTTATAGCCAAAAAATATCAAATTAAAGTCCTGAATCCACTCCTGACAGGAGTGCCAAAGAGAGACCACGGCTTCTTGGAGATACAACCGACATGAAGATGCACATATGGCTCCAGAACAGCGGTAAGATGTTTGAATTGGACTACATTTCTGTTTGACTAAGTGTTGCTCCACTTGTCTTCACGAGTTTTGTGCGGTTATTTATTTTTTTTTTTTATGTCATTTCACATAAAGTTGCTAAATTGATGTTAGCAATTATAGGACAAACTTTATAGGTATGTGTTGCTCTCTCGCGCGTGCGTGTGTGCGCGTGAGAGAGACTGTTACTGTCAATCATCACTGTTTTTTTTTATTCCTGCTTTAACGAGTTGCTTTGTGTTTGCAACCTCGCCTCACCTACAGGTCACCTTTGAAGTTTATTATTTTTTCTGACACCGCAGCAGTTAATAAAGAACATTGCCTGTTTGTTGACCAGCCACTGCAATAGTGAGAAACTACAACTCCCTGCAGCCTCCTCGGCATCATCCATGCGCCGCAGTCAATCAGCTGTTGAGGCAACTGCTGACTACCTCGGCACAAGGGTAGCTCGTTTGTCATATCTAAACCCAGACGAGGCATACAGAAATATCTTTATTTACAGAGTACCCCAAAAGGTGAACGATAAAGGTAATTCAAACGTCCCGTCAGAGAGAGACGCGACCCCTCTGCGTGTGCATGCTGTTCTGTCGTTTGTGTGGAGGGACACATATGGATTAAAGGGGGATTTCAAGGCAAGACAGCTTCATGATATGTGTCGGATGCCTCGATCGGCGCGATGTATAGGCATGTGAGTGGCCAGGGGGGTTTCTGGCAGGGTCTGTGGTACAGGGCCCGGTGAGGTGAGCCACTGTGGGCTGCTGATTGTGCTGCTTTGATGACCTTGGAAGCGCAGCTCTTGGAGGAGAAAACACGGATTAACTGGTGGGGTGTGTGCAATGCAGGCTGTTTTGCGATTACCTTTTGAAAAAGTCCAACTTGTACCACTGCCATCATGCTGCTGGAATGATCCGGCATGTCATCTGGAGGGTTATTATTTTAAAAGTGTAGCAGAGTATTGCATTAATGTTATTGAAAGGCCTCAGGGTTAGGCTGCGTGTTAGCTCTCCGACAGTCCACAGTTAGGCTGATCAGTGTTATCATACAGCAGAATTTTTTAACCTTGGATTGATTTGACATGGTGTGTGTGTGTGTGTGTGTGTGTGTGTGTGTGTGTGTGTGTGTTCCTTGTATGTGCTCCAGCTGACAGAACATGCTTAATTGCTCAGCCTTGCAATAATCAAGTGGTGTATTTACATTTTAAAGTGCCCTGCTCGCTGTTGGGTTGGAATAACGTGGCAACTTTATGGCTTTCTGAATGCAAAAATCTGCCATCACGATAACACCCGAGTCTGTTCTTGTTAATTGGGCTTTTGCAAGGCGTTGTCTCTGAAATGCAAAGTAAAAAGGATCATTTAGCATGCAAAGGGTTTAATAAGTTTCAACAGAGGGCAGCGAGCAGAGCTCTCAGTGAGGCTCCAGCATTGGCTTTAAGTTGGTATATTGTTGCATTTAACTGCAAGTTACATTGGTACATGTTATGTATGTATATGTGTTATGTCAGTGTCAACCAGTGGCTGTGTCAATGCGGACCTCGGGCAGAGTCCCCTGTTTTGCGCTATAATAAAACCTCATTATTCCTGTGTGGAATCATGTATTTAATGCTCATTTGGCAATTTATTCTTCTTTGTTAAATGATCTTCGTGCTAAAAACCTGACTGAGACATGTTTTATTGTCAGGGGAAGGTTCAGGTTCACGGGATTTCTTTGCGGTACAATAAAGTGGTTCAGGTGCGTCACTTTCTGCTGCATAAAAAACGGGGGCGAAGTGTTTTTTTTTTTTTTTTAGTCTTTAAAAAAAAGCTCCGTGATTGTGTGTGGAAGTGCCTGGGTCAAGGTAGAACTGTCTTTTAACCTTGCTGAAGGACAGCTGTATTTACTGACGTATGTAAATGAATATAGGGGAGGTCCTTGGGCAAAAAAAACCACACACTGAATCAGTTTCACATTGCAGCTCCGGAGTTCCTGCGTGGAAGGAAAAAACGAGACGTGGCGAAATCTGGTGAATATCTGCAGCAGCCATACGCTCCGGGTATAATTTGTGGGATTTATGAATCACTCTGGTATAGTCTTGGGAAGTGTCTTTTTCCTCTTCTTCTTCTTTTCGGCTAAATGGGTGATCACGCATTCGCTTTGCAGTTGCCTGGTCCCTCTAACATCATATCCTTGTCGGAGTTGTCCCAGTTCATCAGATCCTACTACAGCAGCCCGGCGAGCCCGGTGTATGATCTGCTGAATTACAACAATAATAATAACTCCTCGTCTCTGTTTCCCCTCGTTGCAGCTCAGCAAACCATGCAGGATGATTTACTGATGGACAAAAACAAAGCCCAGCCTCACCATCAGCAAGATCCGACGCAAGTAGACCCTCCTCCCTCCACCCCGACCCCGTCATCGGAACCCACTTCTTCTTCATCGGAGTCGGAGAGCCCGTCGACCGGGAGCAACCAAGCGGCTTCAGCGCTGAACAGCAGCAGCAAGGACAAAGTGCCGATGGAGTCGCCGATCCTGCCCGGGTTGAGCTTCCACCACCAGCCGCAGGAGACCGGCGGCCCCCTTTCCTCCCCTTCCTCCTCGTTTGGGAGCACTTGGTCCACGGGATCCACAAACGCCGTGGACGATAGCTTTTTCCAGGGAATACCCTCGGTGAACGGGACGATGCTTTTCCAGAACTTCCCCCACCACGTCAACCCGGTCTTCGGGGGTAATTTCTCCCCGCAGATCGGTCTGGCTCCCCAGTCCCAGCAGCATCAACAGCAAGCCCAGCAGCAGCAGCCGCAGCAGCAGCAGCAGCAGCAGCAACAGCAACAGCAGCAGCAGCAGCAGCCACCCCAGCAGAGGAGATCCCCTGTCAGCCCCAGTCAAGGCCCCTTCCCCCAGAGAAACGCTTATCAGACCATCATGAATAACAGCAAAGGGTCGTCGTCGTCCTCCTCTGCCCCGTCGTCCGCTTGGAATAATCACCAAAACGCCGCCTGGAGCACTGCCTCCAACCCCTGGAGCGGGCTGCAGGCAGGCAGGGACCCGCGCAGAGCGGTGGGCGTCGGGGTAGGGGTAGGGGTCGGGGTCGGAGTCGGCGTGCCGTCACCCCTGAACCCCATCTCCCCCATGAAAAAAGCCTATACCAGCAATGTTATAGCACCCCCAAAATTCCCAAGACCCGGTCCCCTCACCCCCAAGCCCTGGATGGAGGACAGCGCCTTCAGGACTGACAACAGCAACAACATACTGCCTTTCCAGGTAAATATGTCCCCCAGTTAGAGCAGGCCTGGGCCTACCTCTGCTGCTTCAGCCTCTATTTAAAAAGGTTTTCCACTTTGACAGGTTGTGGGTCTCAACCCTGGTGGTCGACCTCACAAAAATATAAACCTATAGGAGGATTGTCTCAGATGTATTATGTAAATATTCAAGAGAAAAACATCAGTGCTTGACGTGAGGGAAATCTAACACTACAGGCTAGCCTCGGATAAGGTCACCCTGAACTCCTCACTACCACGGATTCATTATGGGTCCACATATTATAGTGACTGATAGCTCTTTGTGTCATAGTCAATTAGACTCATTTGCAATGAAGTCATTATTTTATAAATGACTCATACACCTATTGTCAAACATCTTCCATATCATACAGTGGTTCCTCACACATCAGGGTCGCAACCGCACAGGCGTTCATTTTGAATTAATTCAGACAACTCAGCATAAAAATACCTTTTTTTATTTGAAATGTGCGACATGCTGAAGCTTTGACTTATGTGGCTCGGCTGAACTGACGAATGAGCATCTGGTTTTGCCGGCAGCAGTGACATTATTATAATAGGGGCATGTATGGTGGCAGATTGTGCTTGTGGAGGTCAGAGAAATCGAATGAGACAGCGAGTCCTTGAAGTATTCCTCATCGATCATTGCTATTTTTACGCAATCAGAGACAAACACCACTGAGTCATTCCTAGAAATAGTCGCTGAGCACGGTTTATTGCGCTAAATGGTTCATTTCCCTCTGCCAGCTCACTCCCCGTCAGGTTTAAAGGACACATGACGCATTCAGGTGCTCCTCGTAACCTTCTGAATCCAGACTGACAGGACCTGTGTGTGTGTGTGTGTGTGTGTGTGTGTGTGTGTGTGTGTGTGTGTGTGTGTGTGTGTGTGTGTACGCTCACTCGATTACCACTTCATCCCAATTACTTGTTTTCAGTGATATATTTTGGCAGAAAGCTGCAGAAAGTATGTGTAAAATAAAGAGGAAACGGTGAAATGAAAACTCCAACATTAATAATAATAAGAATAAGAATAAGAATCTTCTTATTACTATTTTATATTATATATTACTTACTATTTTATATACAATTGTTAATTTTTCTGTCGCTATTTTCAACATCGTTGGCAGTTCATGCGCTCTCTCCTCGTAATTACCACATTTTCGACAGTACCTAAAGGCATCACGTATACTCGCATTTGATTGGCCTGTGATCGGATAGTGGGCGGGGTTTGAACCTGAGCTGGAAACAGAGCGCATGTCCAATCCGGAAGGCACAAAGTTTTTTTTTCACCCCTCAAACAATTTAAAGTAAAAAGAAGCCAAAATAGAAACTTATTGTTAGTTTCAACTTAATATTTGACACAATACAAATGCTGCCATTGATATATGTTTGTGTTTCTGCTGTGAGAAAGCTGCTTAACCATGAAATCTAACTCTATTCGGGGTCAAAACACTCATGAGTGATGTTATTATGTTATATATTTTCTGTTTAAAAGAAACACTGACAGCTAATAAGCAAAGTGGCATTGAAGTTTCATAACTCCAGTTTGAGAATGGGTGACTGAGGAAAGGGCAAGGATGTCCTGTTTATTACAGAATGAGTTATCACAGTTTCAGTCGAACAAAGAAAGTGTGTGCACTGGTCTTATTGCTGTTTCCCTGTCCAATACCGGTATGTCCGGGCTTTATCACCTGCACACTGGTATGTACGAGGCTGACGTACTGTATTGTTACCTGTCTTTTGGTCGCAGTCCATCAGCCTAGTGGACACCAGAGCGCCAGGTTCATACTGGTTTGACTGTATTTCAGTCTGCCATCCTGCCTTGATTGATGTGTCTCATTACAGAGTAGACTAACATGAACAGTCCCGACACTGTATGGTATTTTTCACATGGTTAGTCATGTGTTCCCCCCCCACCCCCCCACCCCTATGTTTAGTTATGCTGCCTGACAAACAAGCCAACATAAAAAAAAAAAAAAATAAGCCAGCTGAATACTCCCTCCTTAAGTCACCGGCTCACTTAAAAAGGAGTACTTGTTCACCCGATCAAAGCAATGACTCGGGAGAACGGAGCGCCAGCCGAAATGTTAACCTGTTGCTACAGAGAGGGACTACATGTGCAGACGAAACACAGCCCGGCGTGGGATGAAATTCCAACCAGCTTGAAAACGTATAGCCTTTTGAGGAGATAATGATTGTGTGTGTCAGTCAGGCCTCCCTAGGTTTCCTCCGTTGAGTGCCTCTATCTCTTTTCTCTTGACTTGGCCGACGTACAGCTCCAGTTAAGGTCAAGGGGCCATGCTGAGTGGTGTGTTTACTGAAGTGAAACTCGGGCAAATAGCAGAGTTGAAGTACAGTCATCTACTCTCATGTGGTCAAGCGCTGCCAGATGAAACATTAGGGCTTAAGTGACATATTACAATAGTTCACTCATATACAGTAAAGGCCACTTCGAGCTGAAGGGAGTAACTGACAGAAAATGAATCTGTAGCTATTCTGATAATCTATGTTTTGTTTGAGTCAAGCAAATGTTGAGTTTAAGTTTGCAAAATGGCCTCTTAAAATGGGAGTATTTTCAGCTTTTGTCTGTTTCCTATCATCGGGTCGGTCGGACAAGATGAGCAATTTGATGGGACTTTTTCATTATTTTGTTATCTTTTATAGAAAAAACTGTGAATCCATTAATGAAGAAAATGTCCGCCAGATAAATCGAGCATGAAGATAATTCGTAGTTGCAGCTCAGACGCAAATAAGCTGCTCTGCTTTCATATTCATATCTTATTATTTGCAATGTCAGCTCGTCACGATGCCGCTGATACCCTGGAGGTTTGTCTCTATAAAACAAAGCAGGAAATAGTCACAATGTATGGCTCACATTTCAATTTAAAGACTGTAGTGATGTTTTCAAGCATATAGATCTTCATCAGACTTTCCTAAACTACACCTCAAAACTATAACTTATATTAAAGGTAAGAAAATACAATATAATTTCTATACATCTGTTGCAAATTAACTTAACTCTAGCACTGTCTTTCCATGAAGATTGGGGACCTGGGAGGAATAAAAGAAGGGTCAGAATTGAAGCAGCAGAGTCCGAGATGTAGTGACTTTTAATGCCTCGTAAGAGTCTAGCTGGATCCTACATTTCCCATAATTCATGGCGTCTTTTATTAGACTTTCCCTGCCTGTTAAAAACTTCTTTAACTTCAAGCCCTCTGTTTATAACGCAGGACATAGGGGCAAATATTAAATATTAATATATAAGTCTCAAGCCTAACTCGATGAACCACAGAAGACTTTATTTTACTGTTTTTACACAGGTTGACGCCCCTATAAGATCAGATATATCTAGTATCTATAATACCAATAGTTGTATCAGTATATATTCTGCTATTGTATAATCTCAGTATAACAGAGAGGGTTTTTTTTAAAGGGCCCATGGGTACCTCGGGGATGCAATCCTGGCTGTAACTCACACTTAGCTGTTTAGCAATTACACCCATAATTGGAGAGGAGTTATCACCAGGATGCAAGGTCAGGGTGCCACATGTCAACTGTCCTGTTTACTGAAGTCAGGCAAATTCCTGAGCCAAGCAGCACGCAGGGGTCCACACACACACACACACACACACACACACACACACACACACTCACACTCTCGTCCCTGTCATGTGGACAGCTGGTGACAGGTGTACTTGCTGTGACCAGGTAGATGCTACCTCAGTCTTCTCCAGGCGCCCCCAGATGAGGCGCAGGGTTGATGTGTTGAGTCCCGTGTGCTCCGATATGTGCTCGTACTCGCCTGCTGCTGGCTGCTGCTGGAAGGCAGAGGAATGTGCAGAATTCAACTTAACATGTCAGCGTGAGGCATGAGACACAAAGTCACATGAGCTTCTCGGGAGACACGCTGATCTGAAGTGATGTTAGTGGCTTGTGTGGTCCTCTGTGATCGTTATCGTGTCGTATCAGATCAAGAAGTTGGAAGTTAGTGGGCAGACTGACAGGTGGAGACTCACAGTCAAATGCCGTCTGATGGTCATGTGAAGCGGCAGGAGTTTGAGTTTGTTTGTAACCTGTGTGATTTACACGAGGTATTCAGCTCGTTTTTAGGGTCATTTTTGCTTTATTTACCACTTAAACGTGTAATTTTATTTTGCCAATGCTGTTGTCTCAGCTTACAGATAACACAGGTTTAACCCTGTGTGTATTTAAATGAGCTTTATAATAAAGTTAGGTTTGAAAGGCAACCAACAGAGAACTCATGCACTCAAACACAATCAGTTAGTTGCTTAGTCAGTTGATAACAATTTCAATGATTGATTAAGTCGTTTAAGAAGCAAAAATGCAGAATATTCTCTTCTTCCAGCTTTTTAAATGTGAGGATTTGCTGTTTTTCATTGCGCGTTGAGTATTTTTGGGGTTTCGTTCTGTCTGTCGGACAAATCAAGCAACTTGAAGACGTCAACCGACAACCTAGAATTTTTCACTATTGTCTGACATTTTCGAGACTAAACAATCAGAATAGATTCTTGAATTCTTCACTGGCAACTGTTACAGATTATAAATACATCCAAAAGTTGTATATTTTGGGCGACATTGTGTGGATTTACACAGGGTTTGATAAAGTTATTATACAGTTTATTTTTTAAAGAGTCATATGTAATCTAAATGTCAGATGTGGCAGGGTTTTTTTGGGGGGGCTCTTCCCTTTGATTGATTGCATGTTACATAAATGTAATATAAAATTAATGGCTGCTCGCATTTTTTGCAGTTTAAGAAGGAAAAAAACAAACAATAGATAATAAACTCACCATCTGCTACTGAATCTGGCAACCCTTAACCTTACTGAGCAGACTTTATCCATTAAAAATAGGTATTCAGCCATATCTTAAATGCTTAGTCTGTTTCTGATCACAATCTCCCTCAGCGCTCTCTTATATCTTGTTTATGTGTCGTGAGGAAAGATGAGCTGCAGTGTAGTCAAGATAGGTCAACCTCCGCTCCACATGCAGGCATTCTTATGATGTGTTAAACAACAAAGTCTGTTTGGGGACTTTTGTATACATGATCTCTTTAGGTCATTCGACTACACTGAGCTCTCCGACCCCCACCCGTCACTCTGCTCGTCCACATGTGTCGGAGAGGAGGGGAGGGGGAGAAAACTCAAAGCTCAGCGTTTTAAGTGTTTACCGTTTGTACCAAGTGGGCAGATTTTTATCTACGTGGCGCTGTCGGGTCCAGAGTGAAGGGAATAACACTTTTGAATGCTCAGCCGAATGGGCAACAATAGCTGTGGTGTGCAAACAATGTGGCCCTGGCTTGGGCAGCGGACACAGGACACAGCTGCCAAGGCTACGGCCTCCAGCTCCGGTTAGGCCACTCTCAGGCTTTACCTTTGGCACACATGTCATTCTCATAAATTCACTCACACACACTGGGCGTCTAAACGTTTCATCAGCAGCAAGCAGCTTAACCCTGAAGGGTTTGATGGACTATTGAGCGTCCGATTGGAGGACTGAACTGGACCAGTCGACCTCATAGGATCAGGAAATTAGCTGTTGTAAATCACTAGGTGAAAATAGGTATCGAATGGCTCCGCAACCTGCTGCATCATAAGCATCTTAGAGCAATGTTAAAACCAGCTGTATCAGGTGGAAGCTGTTCTTTCATAACATCTTTACACAGTCTTTTGATCACGTATTTCAGGATTTAAGTCAAAATGTTGTCCGTTTTAGACAAATTTAAGCTCATTTTATTCAGAAAGCATTTCACATCTGAGACATTTTGCTTCTTTTAACAGGGTTCTGCAGAAATACATGTTTGTATATTTATATGTATTGATTTTTCATTGTGTTGTGTGAAAAAATCATTTTGATGTTGGTACTTTAACTTTATAACGTATAGTATTATAAGTTAAAGTATTGACAACACTGCTACTATATATTTTGGGTATTATCCTTGTGGCATGGCAGATCTGTTGTTGAAAGACTGTCTTTGTTGGATCTATGGCTTCAACTAATGATCATATTTAAGTCATATTTTATATTTGATTAATGATTTGGTCCATGAAATATCAAAAAATAATAAAAAAGTGTCCTTCTCAAGTTCCCAGAGTCCAGAGATGTCTTCAAATACTTTTTTTGTAACGGTCCAAAACCTAAAGATATTCACTTTCCTATCATAGAGGACTATGAAAGCAAATATTCACATTTAAAAGGATGTAACCAGAGAATTTGGGGCATTTTTGTTTAAAAAAAAAAAAGAAGAAATACTGACTAAAATGTTCAATGATAATTTTTCTATTGATGGATTAATCTAATAATTGACTAAATGAACGACATAACCTGGACTGAACCTCCAAAGAGTCGTGAGGAAAGTGAGGAGTACTTTATCAATTACAAGAAAAGCCAGAGGAATAAATGTTCTGATCACATATTAAATTTGTTTCTCTGCTACTTCTCCACCTACAGACTTCACAGTTAAGAAATTCTGTTCTAAATTATATAAATCCAGAAAGATCCTGAGGGCAGAATGCTGCCTCTGCTTTTCACTGGAGCTTTTTGACATGAAAAGACTTAAGAAGCCTCAGACTTAGATTCATATCTCTTTTTCAATATGAGCTGTATTCACCATTATCCCCAGGGCTGACACATACATTCAGTTTACCCTTTTCTCCTGTAACATATAGTCTCTTAATTTACATATTAGTTTAGATTAGCTAAGAATGCATTCCAGCCCCGTGTTGCTTTTTTAACAAAACTGGATTCTGCTGGTACATGCAAGTTGTTGCCAGTGATTTGCCCTTGAGCAAGGTAAGCAACCAACTGGAATTTCAACATCAAGGCTAAATGTTTGCCAGTTTTTGAAGATCGTGTCCTTCATGTGAGGTTGCTCAAATCCACATTTCAAATATTAATGATACTTTGCACTCATAACGGGCAGTAGTTTTAACCGTAGCAGCCATAAGACGGTAGGAGTGTTTATTTTGTTTATGATGTGGTGACTCTAATCCTAACCCTCTTCCTGTTTTGCTGTGTTGCAGGACCGGAATCGGCCCTTTGATGCTTTTAGCTTGCACTCTTTGGAGAATTCCTTAATGGATATGATAAGGACTGACCATGACAAAGGTAAACCACACCCTGCCGGTGGCCCCCCAATGACTATCGCTGATATTATATGGAGGAATCATTTTGCAGGTTAGGAATATTCATACGTCCATGCTTACAAATTTTGGGTTTTTTTTTTTTTTTTTTGCTTCATGGGTATCATCTCTGGGTACATTTGTTTTTCTTTTGCTCTATTGCCAACCTCTTAACCAATCCAGTACAGATCATCATGTTCTGTTTGAAATTTAAATGAATAATTAACATTATGAGCCTTACCTGCAAAATCTCACATATTTATTTTTGTGTGTGTGTGTGTGTGTGTGTGTGTGTGTGTGTGTGTGTGTGTGTGTGTGTGTGTGTGTGTGTGTGTGTGTGTGTGTGTGTGTGTGTGTGTGTGTGTGTGTGTGTGTGTGTGTGTGTGTGTGTGTGTGTGGTGGACCAGATGTGCAGCAATGTGCACCCAAGTGATTTAAATTTTTGCAAATTGCATTTTCCTTTGCCCTTTCTTCGTCTTCACCTGTTGGCTTTCTGCTGATTGAAATCAATGGGCCAAGTAATAATGTCACGTGACTTGTTGCTTTCTGTTGGATGAATCTGTTGTGAGCATGAATGTTGAGTGATTGAGTATATCTGCATTTTCCCTCAGTGACACAATCACCACAAAGCCGAATTCAGAAATCATACTTGTGTGTGCTTGCCACGAGTCAGTCAGTCATAGCCTGAAGATCAAATCAGTGTTTCTAAGCAACCTTTTTACACAGAAGCGTTTTTTTAAACACTAAAATGCAGATTCATACTAAGATTTTATCTCCTGAGATGAATAGATCATTTTGGAAATCATGAAAACAATGTTAAGAAATCTCTCCTCCCGCCCTTTTAAGGCCATCCAATGCATGTCAGCCCTTCTAAGCCAGTATTTTTGTAGCACCGGTCACGTGTCTATTGTAAAAACTTTGGATCCAGTCTCCCAGACGGGGCCCTGTCAGGTTGGGTGTAGGGTTTTTATGCTCCCCCATCCTCCCATCTTAACAATGGAAAGATTGGTGGGAGGGGTATATAATGAGCAGAGCATGTCGCTTCCTCATGCGTGGAGACTGTTTTCCCAATCTCTGTGTTGAGAGCAGCGTTGTCACAGCGGAGTGGTCATCCTGGCCCCGGCCTAACTTTGCTGGAAAGGTGTCGTAATGTCCTGCAGGGAGTCCCACATGATGGTTTATCAAAGCACAACAGAGACAGAGGAGATACAGGGGAAGACAAGGAGGCTGCTACATGGACATGGGTGTGCATTCCTGCATCTCTCTTTGCTTGTTTACCCCTCTCGTCGTCATGTAGACAGCGTGGGGCTGCAGTAAGCTGCCGTGCCAACCACAGAGCTGCTCCACCCTGCTAGCGTACCTACTCACTGTCTGAGAAGGGCCTCTATGCGTTGGCCCGGTCTGCTGTGTAATATACTGCAAAAAAACACAGCTTCTGGTGCTTATTTCAACTCCGGAGGTAATTTAGATCAGAACTTTTCCTTTTGCCCTAGCATTTCAAATAACAAACATATTAGGGCACGTTTCGTCCCATGGACCCCTATATGGAAATGTCTGTGACGATATTGATTTAGTATTGAATTTGTATCGCACACGCTGTAGCAGGGGGGAGAGTTTTGCTACCCAACCCCGATAGGTCTGGGCCATTTTGTTGTGTAAATCTTTTGGTTCGGTCATTTTAAAAAGTAATGACTGAAAAGACTGTGCCAGTTTTCTGCATCCATGTGTGCCATTGTAATGCCCAGTGGGAACAAGGAAAGGGAGAGAGTATAGCAAAAGCTAAATGTTAACAAGCTAAACTGAAAAAAATGTGCCAGAAATCTCACTCAAATTTGGCAGTACCAGTTGGGTTTGGTCAGGTTGTGATGGCACAGATTGGGTTCAGGCTTGCCTGATAATCCGATTTAATTGGACTGATGTTGCAATCAATTGTGAGTGACATATCTGGCCTGCCAAAGTTATTTTCAGCAACTTTTTTCACTTTGATAAAAACAAATATCCTTTGAAAAGCTGTCATTTCTGTAAGTTTACTGATAAAACCTTGCAGAGCTGCATTGATCTCATCCGCCCTGAAGCTAATTAGCAAGCTAGCTCTGAAGGAAAATGAGGTCCTCGTTTTTAATTGCGCCTAATGAGCTCTGATTGGTCAGTTCTTCTGGAGATTAAGAAACCTTCAATGAGCACCACACCAGACCTATCTGAACCAGTAACCAGATCAGAAATGTGGGTGGTGATTCAGAGGTCTGGAACCGAGCTGGGTTCAGGGGCACCCTCACACTGCAGCAAAGATAATTGGGCGTCTGATGCTGCAGCTGTCAAGTTTAGTTGTTTTACCTCTTAGTTGCTGCGCAGTACGCAGTGAAAATGTCAGACTGACAAGGGCTTTGTTCCCCAAAAGCGTCTTGAGGCTAAGATTAATAATTACACTAAGATCGTCTTAGCCTTAAGATGCATTTGCAAAACGGGGCACACCTAATATGAATGAGAACATGTTATTTACTGAAGTGCTGAGAGTCGTCTTGGCATTGTCAACTGGCCTAATGAGACCCGAATCTGACAAGCAAAGCAATACCGTTCAACCAAAGAAAATATCCACCTTATAGATGACATTACTAATTTTAACTTTAAGCTATTCCTTTTGGTATTGGGTGATCTAGGACAGTAATTCTTATTTGAAACCAAATTAGACAAGATAACAAGAGAAAACTTTTTCTTTTTTAGATTCTAACTTGTTTATGAGCCAGCCACTGTCACTTTGAGGATACTGCCCACCAGCTGAGAACCACCAGTCAAAACTAATTAGCCCAGTAGGCCCAGTTTTGCATTCCCAACTGAATAGGTCTCACCCACATCCATCCCATCACAGACATTTCTCACATACTTCTCATTGTGGACTGGAATAGTTGTTTTTCCTTGAGTGTTTTATGAGTCCCTGTATGTGTGTGTTTTTTAAAAAAGCAGAAGTATTTGTAGTTACGCAAATGAGAAATGGTGGGTCTTCTAAATACAGTGTGGGGTGACCCCACCCACACCCCACTCTCCCTCTCTCTCCCTCTCTTTGCGACAGGCAGGAAGGCGAGGCCATCTCAATTCAACCAGTTTTTTTTCTTCTTAGCACTTGTTTGGAGAAGAGTCAGCTTCAAAGGGTGTGTGTGTGCCGTCTGTGAGAGAGACACTTTATTCTCAAGATCCTCTCAAACTTTCTAAAAGCTCTTTACTCCTGGGTGAGGGGAACGGGGCCGCGGGGACGTCTGAACAAACAAGCCCTTTCTGCAGCACCGGACACACTCACTGGTCTGCATGCATGTAGTTCCTGAACTGGGTCAGCTGAGCTCACGTGTGGAGAGCCAGGCCCCCCCCCCCCACACACACACACACACACACAACACACACACACACCAGAGATTCTCCCCTTGGCCTGGAAAAACACCACCAGTCTGACAACAGCCACCACCGCTGCTGCCAGCAATATTGTCTCACACACACACACACACACACACACACACACACACACACACACACACACACACTAACACACACACACACACACACACACACACACACGCAGGATGCACACATTCAAATAGTTTCTGACATGTAAATCAACTGTGACATTGCATGCAAAGCAGTCTCACCTCAGAAACCTCTCAGGCTGTCGTGGTTGTCTTTGCCAAAGTCAACTCAACAGACATGATACAGTGTTTGCAGCATGCAGCCACTCCCCACACACCATCTCAGTGTTGTCACTAACCATTTGAGATACTCAAAAGTGTTAATAAGTCCCTTAAGTCCTGGTGGAAGCTGTGTGTGGATCCCACTCAAACATCTCTCTGTCTGAGCACACACACATTGCCTAAACGGCTCTGACTCACATGGTCTTACTCATGCGTCAGTTACGATTTGCATTGTCTCTTTGTGTTTAAGTGCAGCTTTTGGAAGATTAAACTTGATCAACTTTAACTCAAACTTAAGCCCCAAAGTAGAGCTGCAATTTGGGATTATCGAATAATCACACGTATAGTGTGAAATATGCTTATTGCTTTTGGTCACAGTCAGATGAGGAGGTAGATGTTATATATGTAGCTGCTGCCAGCTGTAAGAAGTACTGTAAGAAGGGTAAAACAGCTAGCCTGGTTAGGTCCAAAAGTAAAAAATATCACTGCTAGAACCTCTAAAGCAAAGTTTTAACGGTGGTTACGTGCTGGACTATTTCTTGGCCAGGAGCTAATGCTAGTCTAAGCTAACTCATCTAACTCTCAGCAAGAGTATTTCCAAAAATGTGACACCTTACCTTTAATGGTCAGGTCTATAAATATCATGTTTGAACAACAATTAAAAAACCTGAAGTGAACCAGCTCACACTGCAGAGCCAGCAACTTAATATATTTGGAAATTTATTTGAGAAATTGCTTAAAATATTCCATCAGTTTATTTAAATTGTTGCATTTAATTTTCTGTGAACTGATTATTGGAATAAATTACTAACTAGTTTATCATTACACAAGCAGTTTTCCATTGATTTTTTAGCAGCTGTGTTGTGTTTGGGTGTCACCCACAACGTGTTGGTTAACAGCCTGTATGAGGTATAATGTTATTGTAACAGATAGAAGGTGTCAGCTATAATTTAAGTCAGTAGTCGAGGGAGAGCAAACACTGTTCGACTTTGTGCGCTTGTTGACAAGAGCATCGGTCAGTGGATAAGAGTTGACTCACAGAGGCTTTTATCAGGAGCAAAACAAGAACTGCAAGTGTAATACAGGTCAGATGAATAACAGTGTGACTGAGCAAAGTGCTTTAATGATAGTTAGGAATGGGTGTCTCCATATAACTTTTCTTGAAACATTTGCAAAGTTGTGGTGTAAAGGTCTCCCGTGAGGTTTAAGAATAAAGGTTTTTAGTTAAAGATTCAGCTTTAACCAAGAAAAACGACCTTCCTCTCTCTTAACTACGTCCTCAAATGTCATGTATGTTTGGAAGAGGAGGTCTGTGTGAACTTTTGTTTTTGTTTAGGTTCAAAGAGGGGTCGCCCCAGCTTAACCTGCGGTGAGAGGTCAATACTTGAATCAGTTGGTTGGGCTGAAGTTTGGCTGACAAGCTGGACTTGACCTTTCAACTTTTCAGCCGTTGTAGTTAACAACACATGAAATGATGTCAATGTCAGAGGGATGCCCTGTACTTTAAACATCCAGTAATGACACTATAGAGATAAGAGTGTGTTTGTTGGCTGTGTTAAAGGTTAAATCGCACCTTGCCTCCAATAAACTACACTGTCAGAGTGCTATGTTTTGTTATGGTGGAAAATTCATGACTCCATGCAAGCATGACTGAACTAATCCAGTCCAGGCAACAAAACAAGTGTGGGCTTGTTTTGTCTATTAAAGTCATGGTTTGTCCAGATCTCACAAGCCATGATATACAATTGAAAGCATTACTATCACTGCCAAGTTGTGTATCAGGCTTAACTGGATACTGGAAATCCTCTATTATTATTATTATTATTATATATTAGGCATTTCATATTTTTATGATTATTACTTTCATGAAACATTAAATTAAATTAACAGTTGGCGGTTGTCATATTTTGTGGATTTAGTTCAAGAAAACTTGCTCTGACAATTTGTGTTTTATATTGTACAGAATTTTATATAATTTTATGTGTTATGGCTTGATAGCTGAAGGAACTTTGACCTTGTTGTAATCATCTTGTTGAGGGTTGTTCAGCTGGGCTGGTGTGAAGCAAAAGAAGTAGGCCATTTCTAACAAATGGAGTCAAACCAAATAACCCTCACCAGGTTTTCTCACAGAAACAATCTTTCCAGTCATTTGTCACCTGTGCACAACACACATGCCCCTCAGTGGGTATTATCATCCTTTTTTCACCTAGTATTTGAAGGTTTGGCACAAGGCAGTAAGAAGTGCAGCTTTGGGGCACCTTGCTGCTGAGGTGCTTTTTTCATCAGTGCTAACATTTCCACACCTTGCTGTTGGCATACCCACTCTCCTCTTACAACTCCTGCTGGAGCTTTCTCCTGGAGGTGTTATTGGGGGGTTTAATTATGTGCTATAATGTGGAACAGAGGGAGCACAACGTGACCATGGCAGATGAGAAGAGATCCAGGTGGGACGCAGTCGGTGGTGATCCGCCACATGGAATCTAGTAAAAATTTAACTACCCAGAAACTTGAAGCACATTACTCGTGTAGCCTTTGGTAGTTTCTGATAGTCAGTCCAGACCAAAGGTCCCAACCCTATTTTCTTGCCAGATTTCTCAAAACCTAGACAGGACCTGCTGTGTCAGCAGACCTTTCTTTACAGCCTTTACAGTTATACACTTGATGTTGCTTTTAACCTCATTTGTCCTCAGAGGCCTCATGCTCCCATACAATAACAACTTTGGAGTGTCCCCATCAGGGCACCAGATCCCAAATTGATGGCCACTGGCTATGTCCAGCTAATCCACCCCCTTCTCTTTATCCCATTTCTACCAAAGCGGTCATTGCGAGGTCGCTGTCCAGTCTGAAGATTGTCAGGCGCGTGAAAGGGAGGCACTGTTGGATCCGTGCCGAAGGAAGTGGATGCCGTATCTCCCGGGTGGCCGTGCCGCCCTATCATGGGGAGGTTGAGAATAGCTCAGGCTCTCGGTGAGGAAATGTCACCAGAAGAGCAGCGGCAGCAGCAGCATATCAGGGGCCTCTCAGGCCATGCCACTCAATTCCTGGGGGAAGCAGATGGCACATGCCCAGAGCTATTTTAAGGCTTCAGCAGGGCAACTGTCCCCCTCCATCACCCAAAATGACTAATGTAGACAGAAAGGCAAGCACTGTTGTGACTTTTGCCCTCCTATCAGCAAAGTCACGGCTTTGATTGGTGAATCTGTTCCATGGAATGTACTTGTCTCTAATGTAGTGCTTTATCGATCCTCCTATGTTTTTTGCTCAATCAAAAGCAGTGGTACTAGGTCAAAGTGCACATTCTGTTGTTGAGCTATAACAGATTCTCTCCCAAAGAAAAAACTTCAGCCGGTCAGACATTTGGCCTTAAACCCTGTAATTTGGTTAAAGGAAGAACAAATAGACCACCCACACATTTACAAATACACATGATTCTGTGCAGCTACCCCTCTGAGCTCTTGAACTTTGATGAAAGTCTAGGTGTGAGAGAGGTAAGATAGAAAAAGCATTGGGTGATTGGAGAGCTTTCTGAAGAGTTAAAAAAAAAAACCTTGTCAGGATACAACAGTGGACGTTCCTCCTTTTGGTTGCCAACAAAATGTCAATTTCCTCATGATAATAAGTTGGAAAGAGCAAAGATAAGTTGACACCAGGCTGTGTCACACATATCCACATGTTCAAACAAACGTGTGTGTATGTATGGGCTTGCCACACTCCATTCGCCCCCGAGCTCCACTGTTGACTGCATTCTGACTGGCTGAGAGTTGTGTGGAAATCCACATCTGTGGAGCTGCAGGGTGGCCACCCCCTTGTCCTCCCTCTACCCCTGCCTCTCTGGTTTTCAACCAGGTCTAACTGTTAGTTCCACTCTTGTTTGTGAGCCAGGAAGAGGCCCCGTTGCTGTCCCCACTATCTGTCTTCTGTGGCCAAATTTGGAAACTTTTGACATTACATCTTGTTTGCGCCACAGCAGGTTGCAACATGCAGCCGGTCTGTCTCTCAAAGTCCACGTTACATATGGGGAAACATATACTAGAAGTAAAGCAAGATATCTGTTTCAGTTGTACCCCCACTGCCACCCCAAAGTTAACGCTGAAGTGACGGTTTGCACAAGTGGGCTGGCTCACAAAGGTCATGTCCCATTAAATCTAAAGGGTATTTGCCAGATATGAGTGTGTATCCCATTGAAAATGTTGCTTCACCTTCTGTCTTTCTTAAATGACTCTAGGTAGGCTGCTTGTTAGCTGCATGTTGAGTAAAAAACTGATGTAGGCGGATTTTGACAGAGGCCCCTAATTTTAAGTGGTTAGGGATAAAGGGCGTGCCTCTGCGGCTGCCACTGCAAATGATGTTGACAGTGAGACGGCAATGTTTTGTCCTAAACCAGGTAGGCTATTTCTGCCTCGCCTTACGTGTTTTCTCGTTGTCGCCTGTACGAATAAGAACCAGGAAGACTTCCATTTAGACGTCCCACACCACCCCTCTCCCCACGACAGACACTGACAGATGGGCCCTTGTAGAAGGCACACATTGTCACCGTAGCAGAATGCACGCTCTGTTGAATTCCTGGCCTTATAGCTGCCTTTGTTTTTTGTGTGTGTATGTGTGTGACAACAACGGAATGTGTGTTACCACCTCGTTTTTCACATCTTTTTTTTCTGTGGTCATCCTTTCTGCTATTGTATCGTATTGGGTAAACTTGTTGTTCATTCATGTCATGTTAAACATTTCATCATGGCTGGCGTTTTCCCATTGCCAACAGTAGAGATAAAAAAAAAATGTCTATCAACAGGGTGGTTTTTATCAGTGATTTCCATGTTTCCCCTCTTTTGTAAAATCTTTTTTTTTTTTTTTTCTTTGACAGGACGTATGGGCCTCAACTTTCATCATCCTGGAGCAGACCACATAATGCCATTGAATAGTAAGTCACACTTCATTGTAGTGTCCATCATCTTCTTCTCCGTCTGGAAGTGATCAGAATTGTCTGAGTTTTTACTGTTAAGTGTTGCAGCTGCTTTTCGTCCTCTGTGTTTTGAAAGAATTAAGAATGGGAAGTATTTTTGTTGCATGTTCCCATGAAAAACGTATGCCGTCTAACCAGTATTCACTGGGCACACCTGCCTACCCTTTGCTAAGGCCTGGATTCCCTGACACTATAAACCTCGGACCGTCATCTTAGCACTGAAGGGGAAGCACAGTTGACCTGTGAATAGCACTTCCAAAAATACCCCAATGTGTAAGATTAGATTTCCCCCAGTGTCCCACCAGACGGCAGATGACCAACAGTGACAGAAGAAGAGCCAGAGAGAGAAATCAGGTCTTTATCCCATATGCTGCAGCATGGATGCCACAAAGTTTTCCAGACTAGGGCCCTGACCTTCCGAGTGCTCTTTATTTGTCTTTGGATGGTATCTGGGACATGATTTCTTAGGTCTTACACATAAATTTTTTGGTCATGTCTTGTAATTGTCTTAGGGGAAATCATGTTTACTATCTTTTTGTACAAACCTCAGCAAAATAATGTCTGGAATCAAACCAGATCAGCGAAGCCCTAGTTTCCTCTCTGGATACGTTTAGTCGGCCTACAGGGTATAAGAGCCGGTAAATGCAGAGGATGTTGAACATAAGAAAACCTTCCTGGTGAAGCAGTTTCTACCATCACATCTTGACAATGTTGGCGCTCCTTCCTCATTTTGTTCCTTTCATCACTCGTATCCTCGGAGAACGTGTCCCAGATTGATGTTAAACTGTTGTGTCATGGGATTGCACTCAGGCAAGCACAGATCTGCCCAGATCTTCCAAGTCTGTCAGAACTGGCTCTAGCTGCTGTAGCCTGTGATGTGTGTAGACAGGGAAGCTTTGGTTTAAACTTTAAAGTGTTTTACTCTGTTTTTTCTCCTTCATTTCGTCCCATTAGCTTTGAGGCTTCACGCTGTGAGAACCTGTAAGGGCTCTACTTTCTCCGGATGGTGTTAGCACTTGAAGTGAAGAAGAAAGAGTGGAGAGTAGCAAGCGTGGGTCCTCTACCCAGATTTATTGGTGTTGTTCGCTTGACAGTTTCGTAGAAGTGTTCGAGGCTTTGATGCCGAGCAGAGCAGGAGACATCAAACTCATCATGCCCAGAGGAATCACCCAGTTTCCTTTCAAACATTTCTCCCAGACACCACACAGTTTGAAGTTGGTACTTATTCTTAACCCTCACTTTTCCCTTTCCTCCTCTCCCTCATGGGTTGCATTCTCTCTCACTGAGGCTTCTGACGGTTTCCCAGCGCAACGTTTACCTCATTTTGCCCTGGTTGCTAGGTGACTTTGTTTCTGCCAAGGCCAAACGGCGAGAGGGCAAAGCTGCAGAGACGCTGCCCAGGTTTTTCTGGATTGGAGAGTTAGATCTTTTTAATGAAAACGTAGCAAGGGAGAAGAGGCTCAGAGACAATATATTCCCAGAGAGCAGCCAGAGGGGCAAGTCACACAATGGGGCTCTCACAATGCAAAGGCCCATATTGGTTTTTTGAGGCAATGAGTCTGCTTTGTGACTGATGCGTTTCAAGGAGCAAGAGGATCTGTTTAGTACTGTATTACCCCTCCTGCTGTTTCCTGGAATTTTTGCTGTTTTAAGCCACATTTTGCCTCCTCTGTAGTTTGCATTTGTGGCACAGCAGATTCAGATCGGGCTTGTTTTGGGAACATTTCAGAGATTAAAGAAACACTCAAATACAACTGTGAAACAAGATGTCGTTTCTTTTTGCACAGTGATATGGTTTAAAAGAAATCTATTTAGTATCTATTCCCAGAGCTTTTTAATGAATCTCGTTGTCTTTCTCAACAGGTGACACATGCTGAGTTGTCATTGAGATAGCTTAGCTGTCATCACTTGACCTACGTACAGGTGGTTGTATATGGGGAGAAGACTGTAATATGTAACTGAAAGATGCAATTGGATGTGACATAATAACTCATATTCATTTACTAGTTTTTTCCTGAGCTTTCAAGTGAATCTCCTGGTCTTACTCAGCGGATGGCCTTTTCATAGCTGTCATGCAGATAGCTCAGTTATCTCTTAACTTAAGAATGTGGATTTAGTCATGTGATAACTGGTGGTTGTATAAGGTTCAGAAAAAGCTAGGAAGAGAACCTTGACTAACTGAAAATGATGTAGCTACTTTTGACAAAAGAAAAAAGGTCATGGTCTTGCTCAGCACATGGCAATTGTTCGGTTGTCATGGACCCTAGCTTACGTGGTAACAGTGAAATTCACAGTTCTTATCTTTATTTCTTTTGAGTCAGTGCAGTGAAATTAACATTAAAAAGCTGAAAAAGATAAGACAGATAACACAGAGAACTGGCACATGTGACTGGCTGATTAGATACAAGTGATCACAATGCTGTACCTTTGCCTTGGCATAGATTTAGATCAGCTCAGCCCTGAAATCATATCCTGCTCTCCACTGCCCCCCTCCCTCCTCTCTGCATGTCATCCTCCCTTCTCAGAGCCCCGAGGCTGCCAGCCATCTCCATACCCTCTCCTTATCCTGTGGGAAGTTTCCACTCGCGCCTGGCCTGCCGTGCCTGACCTGAGAGCAACTCCTAATATTTCACCAAGGCCATGATAATGACTAACCTGCTCTACCTTCAGTCCTGCATGCACTCTGCTTTATGGCCTCATTTGTGAATATTCACAGAAGATTAGCACGAACGCGAGCCGTTGCGGGTTCATTAAGCCTGAGATTACGATCTCTGGCTATGGAGCATCGCATTATGCTGCTCAATATTTCCGCCATTTCCGTGGATAAACCTCACCTATCACCCCCACCCCAGTGCAGCATCTGCATGCGTTTGTTGCCAAGGCAGGTGCAGCAGGTTTTCTGTGGGCTGGTGCCAGGCTGTAATAATCGCCCTTCTCCCATTGCTGAACCTTAGGTGTGGCCATCTGTGGTTTCACTGTTGCCTTAGAGATGTTCCTGGTTTTGGTTTATTTCCACAAAACCCATGTCTCTGTATCTCTTTCCTACCCTTGTTCCTGACCCAACCCTCTGTCTCTCCTTGTGTCTCTCTCCTTCCCCCACTGTGCTGACAAGCAGCCCGGAGCTATGGCCGCAGAAGAGGTAACGTGTGGCATTTTCTCTGGGGGTTGTGTTTGCCATGCCGGCCGAGTCTCTCTCCGAGGCTGAGGGGGGTCTTGGTGTGGTGTCACTATCTGCTTTTCATCTGTGCTGTGATCGAATGAAATCATGTTAATTTTGGCACGCAGTTTTCCATGTTGTGCATTTAATCAACATGGGTGTCCACCAAATCTGCCCATATGAATCTTGTTTTGCTTGATGGTGAGAGGAAAAAAAAAATCTGTCTGCCAATTTTCTTTTCTCTCTATTCTGAGTCAGTGTTCTACCTGTAGTATTTATAACATGAGAAATAGTGCAAAATAGGGAAGCTGTATGGCTAATGCATCCCACTGTAAAATAAAAGTAACAGCAGTTCTTAAAACACATGAGCTCTGCAGTATTTGGGATGGACTCCATTTCTTAAGTCACCAAATAAAAGGCTAAACCTTTTCAAATGTTAATGCATGTTTGGGTCCAAGATGAATCTCGAGGGCTTTGTGAAGGACTATGCTGACTCAGAAGTGATTCATCATCATCTGAATGGCAAAGATCGGTGCTTCCAACATGGATCATCTCTGATTTGATGTGCTTTTTTTTTTTTTTGGACTAATTCTGTCTTTCTTCACGAAGGAGGAAAGCTGCAATGTGACATTTGAAAGGTCACTGCAATATGAGGCTGGGGTTGTGTGTTATATAGCATGGTGAATGTCTGAATCCGATTGCTTTCAATAAAAGGTGTTCATGAGGTGCTGACATGAACACACATAGGAAAGATAGAACGTGCAATATTCCTCACTGTGTAAAAATGTAATTGCTTAGTGCATTTATTACAAAGTCAAATCTCAACCCTGCTAAAGAAAAAGAGTTGTTCTACTGCATAGAACATACATATTACATTTGGAGAAGGAGGCTCCCAGTGGATAACATGGTGTGTTTAGCCTCTCACTGCCATGATGTGCCCTACTAGGAGAGAATACCATAACCATGCTCATTACTGGCTGATTAACAGTCCCTCTGTTCTCATTACGTTCTGCAGTTCAGCATGTTGCCTACCGGTCAGGAAGACTGGTATTGTAATGAGGATTATCAGCGGGACTCACCAGGAAGTTCCCAAGACGACATTATGATATCCTGATTATAATTTGATATACAGGATGGCCAAAAGTATGTGGACACCTGGATGTTACACCCATCAACATGATTGCTGAATATCTTCTTTCCACAAGGCTTTGGGACCTGGCAATCACTGTGTGTTCATGGCTGTCCACATACTTTTGGCCACATGGTGCATTCTTTATGGGAGAAGAGAAATGTTCGAGGGTTTAGTCAGAATTGTGATGGTAATCCCAACATCCAAACTGATTATGCTACAATAATAGTTTCCATGTGCGATTAATTCACTCTTATCTCTCACACCCTCCCTCCCTTTTTACTTCACACTCTTGTGCCTCTCTGTCTTCCCCGTTTATCCCTGTCTGTCTTCCTGGTGTCCTACTCTTTTCCTCTCTTCCCAGGTCGCTCCTGTCTTTTTCCCTTTGAGGATGGTTTCCTCGACGACGGCCACGGTGACCCCTCCTTGACCCCAGGCCTGAACTCGCCAACCCGTTGTCAGAACGGAGAGAGGATGGAGCGCTACTCCAGGAAGGTCTTTGTCGGAGGCCTCCCCCCTGACATAGATGAAGGTAAACATAGGATAGATTTTCATGCACACAGACCTAGAGAAAGGTTTTCACTCGACCTCAGGCTGTTTTTCAGCACGGCCCCGCTGCAGATTTGTTCTGATCCATTCACACGTACATTCACAGGTGGGAGTCTTTGTCTTTGGCTGTTTGCCACTAATAGTTACACTGAAGTATTTGAGCCTTGCTTAAAGGCACCTTGACACTCCTTGTTGAAGATATTAATTTGACCCACTATTTAGCCACCATAAACTACAGTCATAAAGCCTGGCTGGTACAGTTTGAAGCTTTTACACCAGTGACATTTAATTTTTGACATTTAAAGGAATAGTTAAACATTTTAGGAAATATGCCGATCCGCTATCTTGCAGAGAGTTAACGCCTTTGCACGCCAAGTCCGTATTTTCTCGTCTGCGTTTTTTCTCTTCCGATTAAAATCATTACGCGTAGAAACTTTGCACAATGATTGAAATGCTTCTATTCTTCTGTTTGTTGCAAAATTCACAATGCGAGACAGAGTCATCATGCAATGAGGACGATTTTGTGGTCCCCTTACTTGAAAGTAGAAAAAGAAAATATTGGGTCCAAGGTGTCAAGAACAATGAGAGTTTCACCTGCTGATAAAGGAGCTGCCTGCTCCTGCACAGCCTGACTCGCTCTGTCTCTCGTTCTGTCTCTGGCTCTGCCTTTCTCTTCCTCTCTCTTTTCCTCCCTTGCTTCTCTAATTGAAATTGAAACCACTCTCATATATGTGTATCAAATATGAAATTACCACTAGCTGCTGGTTTGCTTAGCTTAGCACAAAGCCTGGAAAGAAGGGGAAACTGCCTCCAAGAAATAGTCTGGCAAAAAAATAACCACAAAGCCAAAATGTGTTGTTTTTACACTTGTATGGATTAAGAAAACAAGATCTATATATTGTTTTACCTGAGGTTAGTCTGTTGTGTTAAGTTATGCTAACCGGATGCTGGCTATAGACTCACATTTAGATTTTGTCATCTAACTGTAACTCTAAAAAAGTGTAAGCATTCTTTTTGAAAGGGAAGCTTGACAATCCTTGGCGATATTCATTTTACCCAGAATTTAACCGGTGTAACTTTTCCTACTATTTAACTATTAACTATTAAATAGCCTGAATATATGGCTGTGTTTACTGTACAAACTTTACAATGAGTCGTAACCAAAAAACAGACTTTTGGCAGTTTATTAAAGTTAAAGGGAAATGTCCTTTTTTGACCAGACCTTGAGCCAAAGAATCACAGTAAATTCTACTTTTATATGCATTGAAGAAATATCCATATTGACAAAAACTTTTTTTTTTAACCCTCAAAATCTCATGGACCTGTAATTGTTTCCACAAACTCTGGAGCATGGCAAACAGTTTAATGTTAATATGGAATACTTACTTGTCTGCACAGTTGAACAAGCACATGTACTACTGAGTTGATGCACAGTACGTGCCCTTAGCTGGTTGAAAAATTAATGAGTTTCCACAGCACGAGTCAGCCCAGACTGGATGTGCCCGGCCTGTGTTCCTGTTTAATGCAGTGGCTACTACTGCAGCAGGAACACTGCAAAAAATAGAAACCGTGCCTTTCTCAGCACTGCGTGTGGCTCTGCATAGAGTCCTTCATATGCATATTAAACTAACCACGAATGTTATCTCATAATGCCATTAAGGAACATTCAAGTCTGTTTTTTCCTCTCTTTTCTTTATTCCTACAGATGAAATCACCAACAGTTTCCGTCGCTATGGGCACCTGGTGGTAGACTGGCCCCACAAAGCTGAGAGCAAATCCTACTTCCCACCTAAAGGTAACAACCGTTTCTCACAGAATAATCTGTATTTTCCCATCAGACATCAAAGTCCACACCAATAAACATCACCTTGGGTGTCCCGCCATTTTAGAGTTTTGTAAAGAATCATATTACCCAGAATTCGTGGCTCATGCTGGGCAACCATGGAGGTGTCTGTTTATCTGAGTTACCCCCTGTAGGCATCTTGCAGAGAGACTCATACAGTATATAATGACTCCATAACTGGCCACCAAGAGTTTTGGCCCTAGATGTGTTTGCTTGAATGAGTACCTGAGGAGTGTGAAAGTTGTTCTCCTTTCTGTGCAGCCTCTCGGGTGTCGTTGTCAGGCAGGTGATCAGAGTAGCACCAACCTCTCCCAAGCCTCTACATCACTCCCTCTGGCCCGGGAGCTGCCGTGTGTCATATTAGGAAAGCTATTAAAGACGCTCTGGAAATAACTAACATTCCATAAGCAGATGGTAATACGCTGCATCTGGAGGACCTGTGAAAATCTCTGCCAGTTTCTCCCCCACTCTCATTTTTCAACATCCCCTTCTTTTTTTTTTTTTTTTTTTTTTAGCTTGGGAGGATTATTTTGAATAGGCTTGGCTCTACTAATATCCAAAGCCAGGAGGAAAAATGCAGCATCCTTTTAGGGGAATGAATGAGCTTACGGCGGCTGGAGGACGCCGCCATGTAAGGGGAGGAGACATGTGGGACTAGTGATCTGTGTAGAATTCATCTTGCACTCTAATTTAAAACCCCCCCTCTCCAAAACTCAGAGGGAAACTGTGAAATTATCCTGTTTATGTCACACTCCCCATATTAACTGGCAAGGGAACTTGGGCAGATGCCTGGTGACAGAGTTCTTAGCACTAATAGCTTCAGGGTTGAGAGCAAGTGCACATCTGCATGTGTGTGTGTAAGCGTGTCCTACTGCCGGGTGGACTGTAACGGCTGATTTGCGGATGTGGGTTTCGCATCAAGAGGTCATCGGCCTCTCCTCGTGTTAAACGTCCTTCCAAGCTTGACTGAATGGAAGATAGTTGTCACTTTCCGTCCTCTTTCACATTAAACTGCCAGCGATGTGTGTCTGTACAGTTATGAAAGTGTTTTGGTTTAGGGATGACTCATATTGTGGCTCGGTCCGACTTTAGGGACAAGCTATTTGGTGCTTGGAGAGGAAGTAGGAACAGGGATCAGCTAACTGTGCTCCATGCTCTTATGTTTTCATGAATGCAATATTGCATTGGCATTACCCCCCAGTACATACTGTACATTGTCAATCATCGTCTATCTGTAACTTTATCTGTAATGTATTTGTCTATCAACAACTAATTGAAGCTAGATGTGATATGATAATGTTGGGTATCTTTGCGATGTATTGTGATAAATGCAGTTTTAGGTTTTATGTGTGTTTTTTTTAAAGGGAGAGAAGTCAAATTCTCTCATTCAAGATGTATTTTATTACATTCTTCAAGATTTGGAGAAAAAAAGATGAAATAGTCACCTGAATGGCGGCAAACGAGCAAATTTGCTCATTGAGGGACTGAACGGCAGTATATTGAATAGTCTTTAAACAAGTCACAACATTTTGTAATGTTGACGATAGATTTGCTCCCAACTGAGCATTTTAGCTTCGTTTAGCTTGTTGTTTTGGTTTTATGGCCTGCAACTTTACAGTTTTGCTTCACTCTCATCAAGCTCACTTCCAGACACAACAGGCCGCTGTATTCAATGGATGAAGCTCTATTGAACCCACTGTACCCTACCTGCCTAACACCATAGTGGAGCATTTAGCTGCTAAATAGCCAGATACTTCCCTCAGGAGCCGGTAGAGACCAAAACAGAGCTGAAAGGACAGTAAATATTGCCAGAACCATGACTCTAAATAAGTGCTAATGTTGTTCTGTGCCTGCTGGATGTGTAAATAACTTGCTAACACGTTCATCATATAACCTTTATAATGAGATAATATGTCAGTGTTGTATTTGCAGCTTGTTCTGATGCCACCAAGTCTTCAAAAATCAGTTAAAGCTGAATTTTTATTTTTCATTTTTACCAGTGATTCCTTTTCTTCATTTCTCATTTCTTGGCCATGTCGCTCTCAGAAAAATCTGACCACTACGTTCAGATTACTGTGGTTGTTGGCAATAAGCTTGAAATGTTATGGAGCTATTTCTGTCCCTGATTGGCGAATGGAAGAGGAGGAGGAGGAGGAGGAGGAGGAGGAGGTGTGCTGGGAGCCTGGGAGCTATAAACGGCTACAAATGCTAATGCTCACGTCACACTGCACACTGTGTCAGACTTGTTTGAAGGCTTCAAAAGGTCAGAACAGAAGTCAGCCAGTCATTATCAGCTTTTTTTGTGCTGTCATGAGTCAAAAGGGACATTCAAAACAGAAGTCTGTATTTTCTCTTCACATATATATATATTATAAATTCAGCAAGGCTCAAATAATGGCAGCAGAGAAGTGCTGCAGTGGCAACAGTCGCAGTATTACATCGCACTGCATTACTCGGGCCTTGATTTCTCTTTTCGTCCTCATGTTGGGATTATATCCAGTGAGTGACTTCTTCAAATTGAGATGATTAGCGACGCTTGATTTCCCCCCGTCCGCTACTGTTATCACTGACTACTCTCCAATTGCTCCAAAGCCTCGAGGCCTGTTTGTTTTTTGGAGAGCAGATGTTTGTCTCTGTCCATCCATCCTGCCAATTCTTCTTCTTCTTCTTCTTCTTCTTCTTCTTTTTCTTCTCGTCCTTCCCTCCCCTCATCGTGTGAGTTGCTGTCAGCCGTCGTTTACATTTTGTGGCCCTCTGCAGGTTTCGGTCTCTCTGTGTCCTCTCATGGGATAGATAGTATACATGGAGGGTTAGGCTTCATATATGCTTTCACACAGAACAGCCTCCAGACTTTTGAAGCGGGTCGAAGTGTGTTTGCTGCTAGGACGGCTGTTTCTCTGATGGCTAGTGGCTGATTTATTTCTCGGTCATTCTGGGCGTCTGTGCCCTCGCCTATGTGAAATCTGTTGCTGAGTATGAAAAGTTAAGCCCGGATTTAAATGTCACTGTTAAAGCCAGAGAGATGCACAGTGTGACTATGCTCTCTCGGTTTATCTAGTCATCATGGGTTGGATTTCAGCAAAGTCAACACAACTTTCAGTTGATGAGGTAATGGAGAGAATAGGATAGCAATGTGGGACTTTGATATAGCAGTGGAAAGATGTTTGTGTACTACTTAGTGACGGACCCCACAGTATCAGTTCCACTGTGGTATGTGGATAATGTAAAGTATCAGCTAGCACCAGGTACGGATGCAATACTTTGAGTCAGCAGTGTATTTTTAGACCTTTTTTAATCTGGGTTCAAAACTCAGAAGTGATGGAGGTATTAGCATTTTCTGGGAGTTGCTCGACCTCTGACATACCGTATTTGATTCCCGTGCAATGGAAAACACTTAATGGAAGACATTGACATTTTGAAAAAGATGCTTTCTTGCAGAGAGTTGGATGAGCAGATTGATATCATCCTTGTGTCTGTATGGTGAAGCTACCACCAGCAGCACAAAGACTGATTTAGAGGTGCTGCGAGACACATTTTGGACCGAGCCAGGCTAGTTGTTCGCCCTTGTTTCCCGTCTTAATGCTAAGCTAAGCCAACTGACTCCTGGTGGTAGACTTATATTGAACGTACAGGCATCAGAGTGGTATCAGCGAGTGAGCATATTATGTCAAACTGTTCCATTAATACCTGTCTCCCATTAACCCTCGTAAAGCCCAGCCTGATGCTATCTTTAGGCAGCAGTTTGCTGGTTAAGTGTCTGCAGTTAGTGAGTTCATGTCTTTGTTTTTATGGCAATTTAACAAATTGTCATCAGGTTGCTGTTGAGGTAACTGCTGGCCTCCATTACAGGAAACACTCTCTCCTGCATGAGGTCATCGGTTTGTCTGCGCAACCCACGAGGCACTCTGCCTATCGTTTGTCTGTGAACGCCGCTCTTTGGGCTGGAAAATGCTGCGGGTGTACGTATTCCGTTCCTCCCAGGACAGTGCTGGGAGCTCAGCAGCAAAGCCCTATAAATCTCAGGCACGAGCCACTGCAGATCTGCGCTCTCCTCCCGTGGTGTAAGCCTCTGCACTGCGCAAGGCTGATGGAAAAAGACAGATCCTCAGCACCATTCAGGCTAAATATTAGAGTATTAAAATGGCACAGAGCCCTATGAAACCTGGTACAGTCTGCTTTAATGGTAGGACTCAAGGGTTGACGCAGTTTAATGCAAAGCCGTGCCGTATTCATTCAAATATGTACACACCGATGGAATCGAGTGTTCAAGCTATTGATCGTGTAGACATGCTGTGTCCTGATGGAACCTTTCATTGCCAGAGGAATCTGCAGAAGTAGAGAATGATGGGAGTAATACTAAACCCAAGTATCTTATAGCACAGATCATGACACAGGTTTTCTTTTACAGTTTGGTACAATACAAGCCAGTGACTTCATTTATTGGATAAAAAAAAAAAAAACCCCGTACAATTATAAGATAATATTCCTATGATATTGCCCAAAATTGAACTGTAATATGGTCTAACTGTAATATATTAGCACTTAAATTAATAATTATAATAATAATAATTGACAGAGGTCTACTTTTAAGATTGTAAAAGTTTTCATTTTCCTGGCAGTTGGTGTCCTCACTGGTGAATTTAATTTAAACAAGTTTGAAGGATGTAATAGAAGTCGTTTACCGGCTTTTTTTTACGATACTTGCAGCGTGAAATTGAGTGTAAGGCTTTCCAGGCCTCTTGCGTCAGTTTTGTAACTTTCTAACGGGGTCCATTAAAGTCTCCTTTACATGTTCCTCCTGCTCCCCATGTATTTTCAAACTCCCTGTTTGCATGGCAGTCATTCATGTTGCTCCTCTCCTTCTCTTCCCTACCTTTTCTCACTTTACCCCTCTCTTTCCATCTGTCTCACTCCTCTCCCCCTCCTTCTTTCTCTCTCTCTCTCTCTCTCTCTCTCTCTCTCTCTCCTGCCCTGGGTCATGGAACACGTTGTTCCCTCCTTCAGACTGTATGAGCTGCTGGCTAGCTCTGCCTTTTCATGCTGGGTTTTTTTTTTTTTGTGCAAGACTGCAGTTGTTTTTTCTCAGAGGGGGGATGTCAGCGCTAAACCACATGATTTCTCCCAATGACAAACCCTCTTTATGTAACCCAGCGACACAGAGACAGGGGTCTTATGTCGGGTGATGACTAGGCACGTGGAGAAAGATGACGATGCACAAAATCCTCTTATGTCGAGTCTAATTGTGTATTTCTTTGCGGCTGGTCCTGAGAGGAGATTGCTGACCAATTATAAGGCGACAGCGATTAGCAGGTTACTTAAAACAGCTGATTCCAATTAGTTTTGCATTGTGAGTATTTTTGTTTGGTCTCCGATGGTACAGTCTGTTATTAGAGAAAACATTATAGCCCCACTGAGGTTATAAGCCTGTTACTTGACTCTACAGGGCTCATAATAACAAACCACTAAAAACTGTTAATTAGTAAGAGCCTCTGTGGTTACTTTGCATAATACTAGATGCATACAATCACGCAGCACTGTGTATGCTAAGGTGTTAGCACAGAGCAAAATCTGGTATTGGTCCAAAAAGGGACACATGGATAATTATGGCGCCTGTGTTGCTATCACCTAATGATTGTGTTGCGGTCCTCTCGAGGACACACAGACCTGCTTCTCCATCCTCTCTCCCTTTTCTTTTATCATTGCTGCCATTATTACAACACTTTTTTCAGTTGTTGGCACATTCATTTACCTCCGGGCCCTCGTGAGGCACTTAAGAGACACTACTAAGAGAGGTAATTATTGTGATGTTATCTTGTGTGTAAATAGTTTTCTTTCTTATATTAATCTTCAGTATCATGTCGTCCTCATGGTATCTGTGGTTGGCAACTAAATGATTTATGTTGGCAGAGTTAACACTTGATAAAATGAATATCCATTGAAGATCAAGTTCAACGTTGGGGTACAAAACAAGCGTCTATTTTCTCTTTTCTCTGCGACTAAAATTCCCTCCTGACCATAAATGGGAAATAGTGAAAAATGCCCATTATAATCCCCCACAGCACAAACGGATGCCTTTAGTATCATTCAGTTTAAAATCCAACCCGGATACTCAGTTTACTGTCATATATGGGAAAGAGCAACAAGAAATCCTCAGGGCTGATAAGCTGGAACCAGCAAATGTTTGGCATTTTCACTTTTAAAAATGACCCAGTGACACTTTATTTTGATAGTATAGAGTATTTGTAACATATCAGCAGTTTATTAGTTGAGAACTGTTTAAAAAATGAAACCAGCACTGTGGTTGAGGTTTGGTTAGATTTAGACCCATGATTTAGACAGAAAAAGCAAAAATAGGGTTACACATATTGTATTAAACTATATTATAATATACTATACTATTAAGTATTTGTAGGTGGACTATCTAAATGAAGTGTTATCAATGACCCACACAATAGAACAATTGTTAAATTGTCAAATTAATGGATTTATTCTCTGTCCATCCAGTCCAAATGTTTTCTGGATCTTTTTTGTGTGTGTCCACTGATCTGTGCACATACAGGGTTTTCATACAAGTCATCAAGACTGTAACTCTGATGATTCTTATACAACGTGGCAGTCTACGTAATCGTCTGCTGATATAGACGCAAATGTCAAAAAGTCACAATCACCTCTCGAGACTTGACACTGTCACATGGATCAGGACTCACGTCACACACGGTCGACGGCCGCTGTCAGAGCGAGCAGCGGTTTCAGCCCTCGTGAGGACACATACACCTGCTTACGTACTTGCTTTTTTTTCCATTCCACCTTTGTTGCTCACTGCGTTCTCTTTCTTGTCTTCTTTTATTTCCCTCTGCCTCCCCCCGCCCTCCCTCTCTCTTCAGCAGCACACCCTTCCCTCCCCTCCCTGCCCTGATACACACTTTCACTCAGACCTATCCACATACCTCAGTTGACTGGGTCTGCCGAGTCAGGCTTTATTCCTCCTTTTCCCCCTCATCCCATGCGTGGCAGCTCCGCTCAGGAATGTTGAAAGTGAAACATGACAGTTGCACATTCCTCTTCCTCGCCATTTTCACTCATGCATTTGTCCGCATAAGTGTGTGTGTGTGTGTGTGTGTGTGTGTGTGTGTGTGTGTGTGTGTGTGTGTGTGTGTGTGTGTGTGTGTGTGTGTGAGGGTGACACTGAGAGATGACTTCTCAAGAGATACATTGCACATGGCTTTTGTAGTAGTCTCGAGGGACACTAGACACAAAGTGATTGGAAGTTGGAGTGTACTCCAGCATAAAACTAGTCTCTGGGTGTGCGAGCGTGTGCATATCTACCCATCCCAGTTGCTCCACTCAGGCCGCAGCTCATATTCCCTTGACTCAGGGGTGCCACAGGTGGTGCTGGGCTTCTGCTAACATAATCAGCCATTTACAACCCATTCCGACATGACTTTGTGCACCAACATCTGCCGCTTTTTGACTGTAAATACATTCAGTCATTTCCTCTTTTGGTCTCATTTTATTATCTAAAAGTTTCTCTGAGCTCTTGCTTCTTTGTTCTTTATCTGTATAAATCAGATGCTCACCAACCCTTGCAGCATTGTTTGATGGGTGTTAGACTATTGAGCTGGCTTTCTGTCCCTCCCAAAACGGCTTAATAGCTCTGACCTTGGATAAGGTCTCTGCTCTCAGTGCTAAATAATTCAATAGTACAGAGTGACTGTCTGAATTGCTCTTTCTTTCTGCCTCGCACAGACATCACCAAACTCTCTCTCTACCTGAACCAATTCTCAGGGAAGATCTGCAGTGGGTTAGACTGATCAATTTTGCATGGTTCCTTTAGGAGTGGAGCACTCTTAGCCATTTAATCTGAAGCAGCACAGGCAGCAAGGTGCCGGGTGTACAGCGCCTTATGGAGGCAGGCGAGGCAAAAGAGGACAGAAGAACAGGCCACAAGGTCATATGCTTCTGTGGAGACGAAGTTGTCTGAAACTATGAATAATTACATGGAAAAATGTGGGGCTTAGTCACAGGATTGTGACTTGTACAATGTAGACACTGTAGAAAATACTCAAATGTCTATGAATTGTTGCCCAGAGGACAGAGTCTAAAGCATTGTGGTCACAAGGGTATGACAGAGAATGCCTGCTCTTTTCCTAAAATCCCTGTTTCCTCTTCTTTCCAGGCTACGCCTTCCTGCTCTTCCAGGAAGAGACTTCTGTTCAGGCCTTGATTGACGCCTGCATCGAGGAGGACGGCAAGCTCTACCTGTGTGTATCCAGCCCCACCATCAAAGACAAACCGGTGAGCAGCAGTAGATCTTCACATTCCCCCATCTGTCCTAGACTGCATTTCTTTTTTAGGACATAAAACTCTAGAAACTCTGTGAGGCTGCACTTGGTGCTATGAGTCAGCATGCTAACATTCTTGCAATGACATTTTATTTGTACCACATGAACCATCATCGTTGCTGCTAAAGTTTAATTAGCACTGAACAAAAAGTACAGTTGAGGCTGATGGGAATATGATGAGTTTTTCTGTTCAGTGCCAAAGTATCAGACGAATAGAAATGGACCTGATGATGGAGCTAGATCATTATGATTCATTATCGGGGAACCACGACTGTGTGTACAAATAAAGTTTCAATTCATCTTGTAGATACTGACATGGTTTCACAGAGTAAGTGGAAACATTAACTTGGTGGTGGCACGAGATAAAAAGTCAGACGATCACCAAAGTCATGTAGATACATCGTATGGGGACCAAAGTGTTGCACGGACCGGCAGACGGACATTGTCCTCAGAAGAGCCACGCTGCTAGCATGGCTAATAAATGGACAGGAAGTACACCACACATTGGCTTCTAAATGACCACATCTTTTTCCATCTCTCTTACACAGGTCCAGATCCGTCCCTGGAACCTCAGCGACAGTGACTTTGTCATGGATGGCTCCCAGCCGCTGGACCCCCGCAAGACCATCTTTGTAGGGGGTGTGCCGCGGCCCCTGCGTGCAGGTAGCGTATATGAATGGAATATCTTTTTATGCGATCCCCTAAAAGCCCTTAAATTGGCTTCATAACATCGGTTGGCATGGTGCGCATTGCCTGGAGGTTATAATGAAAGTTCTCCCTCTGAGAAAGCAATCCTCTACTTGGGTTTCCAGGACGCAGGCCAAGTGGTCGTCATGTTAAGAATTCATGGTGTAATGGAAGGCTCAGTCCTTCTGTTCTTGGGATAAACATCGCTGGCTTGTCTGCAATGTGACCCCTACTAATTATACCAGCAGTTTGAGACTGCAGCTCTGATGAATAGTGGAGTAGGGTAGATTTTTACATCAGGTAATAACGGCGTCAATCACAAAAGTTAAACCTTTTACGTAGTTTTTTGAGGAAGGCTGAGGGCTTTAAATTTGAGGAGAATAATGGAGAATAAAACTAACACTAAGAGGCCTGGCTGTGGCGCTAATCATTCCTCTTTCTTCTCTTTTCTTCACTTTCTTCTCTCCAGTGGAGCTGGCTATGATCATGGACCGGCTGTACGGAGGTGTTTGCTACGCCGGCATCGACACCGACCCGGAGCTCAAATACCCGAAGGGGGCCGGCCGTGTGGCCTTCTCCAACCAGCAGAGCTACATTGCTGCCATCAGCGCTCGCTTCGTTCAGCTGCAGCACAATGACATCGACAAAAGGGTGAGCGAGTTCATGCGCTTCATTCACAACATCCTTCCCCCTAAAAGAGAGCAGCGTCCCCACCACAGCTGAGGTTTTCACAGTCATTCCTATGGCATGCTGCAGAGCTGAACTCTGCCCGAGCCCTCTCCCATGTATCAGAGCTTTCATTATAGCCGGGTTTTCAGCCAACTGCACAGCACAGCCTACAATAACGGAAGGCCAGGCCAGGCTGTGCAATCACTACGGCCTTTGGCTGCGTGAGTCCCGACAGATGTTTCAAGTTGCAGACACAGAGGGTTGGTTTAATTATAGTAGTTCCCTATACATGTATATCCACTCGGGCTGTGCTGCAGCCTGGTTATTTTAGGCACGTCGGGCCAATTGCAGCGGGACAGATCGTGACCAAGGGAGACTGGTTGTCAGCCAGGAAGCCGAGCCTCTGCAGGGCGGGGCAGTGCACCCCACCTCAGCTATCGCCATCGATCTTCAGTGGGGGTTTAGGGTGTCTTTATTATGACTGGAAGTGGGTGGAACGTGAATAATGTTCAAAACAAGTTAAAGAGAGAACATTTAGCATACACAATGCTGTGAATGAAGGTTTTACTGCGAATATAAGACACAACATTTTTCTAACAGCCTTTTTTTAAACCAGTTAATCTTTGAGAATCACCATTAGTTTGAGTTTAAACCGGTGCTACGGAACAAGGAAGCCTGTTTTTGCCACTTTTCTTTCTAATTTCCTCTTTTCTCACCTTCAGCGTCCACAATTCCATTAACTGTAAATGGCTCTTGATAATAGGACATAGACGCTCATTACCCCTGGCCAGCTTCGCGTCCGCTGACTTGATATTGGTATTTAATAGCATGGCAGCATTGCCATTTCTGCCTGGCCTCCTCCTCCTTCATTTGTCTTTTGGATATTTGCACTGCAGTTGTTGCAGAGTTTGAACTGAGAGGGACGGTCTCCTGCAGCTGAAGGATTTGATAACCTTTCATTTTGTGGCCACGCTATAACAAGGTTAGCATCCACCCCTGCTTACTCATGAACTGAGGCGTCTCCATGGCGACTGAGCTCTCGTTTCTTGTCTTCCCGGCTTAGTGGTCAAACTCATTTCACTGGCGGACGAGAGGATACCTGCCTTGAGATTGCCTTGCATGGGGGTTTTGGATAATGGCTTGAAGGAGCTAACACATTTAGATCAATAGAGCTGTTATTTTAACACATTTACTGTTTGTGTTGGTTTTACTGTGCATAAGTCTCGCATAAAGATACCAGTTAAAGGTCCAGTGTGTAGGAGGAGGATCTGTTGGCAGAAAACAGATGGCAGTTGATTGCAGTCTGAAACATCACCGGTCATATAGAGGCATCAGTATTAAACTGAGACTGTTTTAGAACCAGTTAAAAACTCCCTGTAGCATTTCTCAGATTGCGACTGCAGTACTATTGTTACCTCTCACCCAATGGCAGCAGTTGAGAGAGCTGCCTGCTGGGAGCTGAGGTGCCCATCCAGGGCACAATCCATGTTTGTCTAATGAGATGACTAACGGCGCCGCAACCCAACACATGTTCTGATCCGTGTCTAAACTCGACGCCGCCTCTTTGTTTCCAGGTGGAGGTGAAGCCGTATGTCCTGGACGACCAGATGTGTGATGAGTGCCAGGGGGCACGCTGTGGGGGGAAGTTCGCCCCCTTCTTCTGTGCCAACGTCACCTGCCTGCAGTACTACTGCGAGTACTGCTGGGCCAGCATCCACTCGCGAGCCGGCCGAGAGTTCCACAAGCCACTGGTGAAGGAGGGGGGCGACCGCCCTCGACACGTGTCCTTCCGGTGGAGCTGAGGGGGGGGTGTCACAAGTCAGCCCTGCCCCTCCGGTGAACCCACAACCGACCCCCTAAAAACCTCCTGCACCCCTACTACCCTACAGGCCGGGACAGAGCTGCAACCGCCCCTCCCCCACAGCACCCGCCTACTCCACCCTGCTCCCCACAAACACCTCATGAAAAAAAAGCAAAAAGGATACCGTCAAATACATGGGACTGTCTTCATACCACACGGCTCTGAACTCATTGTCTAGTGTTCCCCTCTGATGAAGCATTGTGGGGAAATGAAATGCGAAAAGTCTTTCAGCTTAGAATTTGCACTTTGGCACAAAATCTCATTAAACACACACACAAACACACACACACACACACACACACACACACACACACACACACACACACACACACACACACACACACACATACACACACACAGGAGGGTATGTTAGACACCTGGCTACTTTCAGTTCCCCGTTCTGTTGACTGGGTGGTGTGGTACGTCCTGTTGGACCCCGCCGTACTGAGACAGAGGTGGGACCATACAAATATTTAAAAAGTATATATTTTTTGTTTTGTACCTATCTATACATATATAGATAATTTAAATTTTATGTAAAAGGAGCATGCACTTATTTTCAGAAGCTGTAGTTATATTGCCCCTAGTAAAAAAACAATCATTACCAAAGGCAAATGAAATTAATGCATACAGAAAAGCTAAATAGGTGGCATAAGATGTAGCAAGATTTAACGACTATCCAGTAGTGTGGGCCCGTATCGCCCAGAGAAAAAATAACACGGCTATATTCACTCTCAATTTTGACTCTGAAAATATTAATACCTCATATGCGCAATCGGATTAGTTTGCTTTCGATTTCTAGGTCTTTATTTTTATAATAACATTATTTTTTAGTGTTATGTAAATGTAATGCTGCAATAGCTTTGCTGCTAAATCCATGGTATAAACGGATACCATAAGTACTTTTTTCAGGCTAGGGTGTAAAATAATAAATAACAGATCTAGAGAAATGACGAGCTATCATAGGGGGAGGGGGCGCCCCTAGACAACGATGGCTACCTTTGTGGGGGTCGGGGTGGGTCGCCCCTAACTGCATGTTTATTTCAATCAGGTTGCTGCATGCAATAGACTTTTCAGTATCATGTCTACTATTCGATTCTGCCCATGTTTGCACAACACACTATAGACGTACGTACGTTCGACTCGCACGAAACTGGACAGAAACAGGGAAGACTGGTCAAAGGAATCATGGCGGCTCCGTGGCGCTGGTCGGGCTGACAGGCCACGCCACAGGGCGGCCAGAGCAGAACACACCCAGACGACAGGGAAAAAAAAAAAAAACCTTAATAATCACAAATCAAATTAAATGTAGGATTACCATTTAAAACTGTCTATGATAGGTGAAGTACTTTTTTGCAGTGATTGTTGATATAATTGTGCAATTTTTTATACCGTATGTAGTTAGGTCTGAGTATGCCTAGAACTGTGATTCGCTTTAACTGTCGTTAATGTCCGACATAGAAGTCCTGTGAAACTTCATAACTAGTGTATGCACACGTATATACGTATGTTCTCTTGTACACAGACTTGCACCAGTACACACAGAAGCCTCTCGACACACACACACACACACACACACACACACACACACACACACACACACACACACACACACACACAGACGGCTGTCTTTCTTACGCACACAAACAGGCCTAGAAACACAGAGTCTGACCTGAAGAGAAGACACAAAAACAATGTGAGCTTAAACTGAGAACTGAGGTCTTTGGTTATTATTACTTTTTATGATTTGTTCCACCGTTGACAAAAAAGCGCACGTTTACGTCCCAGAATGCAACCAAAGAGCTCACGTGTTCGACTTTTAACAGACCACCTAACACTCGGAGCGAACAGCCACCCGCAGAGGAGCCGAGGGTGCAGCGGTGCGGCCGGTTAGAGGAGGGAAGAGGGCAGTTGGGAAGAATTCGGGGAGGGGGTAAAATGAAACATTGAAGCTACTGGAGACTTGAGGTTGATAAACTGAGCTCTGCACATGATCTCACTACATGGCTGGGGTGGGGGGTGGGGGCTGGGGGAGGGTGGGGGAGGGAACATTGCCAGAAGATGCAGATGTGCAAGCTGGGGTTACCATATTTATCCAGATTTTTTTTTCCTGCAAAGCTTGAAGTAATGGACCTGCTAAAAAAAACAAAAATGGTGGACATCTTTTATCAAAAGGTTATAGTGCGCAGTTCAAACAGGATTGGGTTGGGTTGGGTTGGGTTGGGGGGGGGTGTTTGGTAGTTATGAATGCATAGAAAAACTTAAGTATTGGCTGCTGAAGACAAGGGCGGCTCTGGTTTGGGGGTTGGCGTGGGGGGGCCAAGTTACACTGGTTTTTAGCAGTTTTGTGGACAATCCGAACGGGGTCCTACATCATTGCAAGTTAATGTGTGTCGTCCCCTCTTTCTTTTGTCCGTGAGTTGTGATTGTCCCGTGCTGGCGCCCCCCGCAGTCCCTCTCCTCTTTCTCGTTTTAGTCGCAAACTGTTTTTTTTGTTTGTTTTTTTTGCTTTAGGATAGATGTTTTTGTTGTCCAAGAAAAAAAACTAATTGAAACTAAGCAGAAGATACTTTTTTACTGATAGAAAAAGAAAAAAAAAGACTTAAAAAACACAAGGCTAACCATGAGTAATAATAAGTATCCCTATGAAAGTGAATTCTGGGTGTTTTTGTGACATTTCTTTCCCCACCCAGACAGGTTTTCTATGTTTGTTCCTTCTCTATGATAGATATTTGTTATGCACTACTCTTTGTATCTGAACAGTTTTCGACGGTCAGCAGTTCTTTTTGTTAAAAGACAAAAAAAAAAAGACGATAAAGCGTGCTTTCTGACTGACAAGATCTTTTGCAATACCTCAATTTTGAAATATATTAGGAGAGAAACTGATATTTTCTAAGTAAGTTTATTCAGATGAAAAAATATATATTAATTTAATTCTTCAAGAGAAATGATTTAACAGATGGTTGATTTTTTTATTTTTATCATGCTTATTTGCTTTTATTTTAAGAATTTATTTTTTTGAAAAAGACAACAACTGAAGGAGCTAGAGCTTTATAACTAATATAATGATGTAGTTAGTGAGAGTACAGTCTACTTTATTACAGTGGAAGTTAGGGGTGAGTGTCCCACTGATTGAAATTGGTCTAAAACATCGGAGAAAGAGCTCTTTAGGAATAATCAGGTGCTCAGAGAGAAAACTGAACATATTTCCCACGTTTTTGTATATTTATAATCAATCATTTACTATGCTGACCAGAGTTGTGAAAGAGATCTTCTGTTCATTATTTTTTTAAGAGAAGTTTTTTATGTTTCCTAAAAGTATGTGCTCCCTTTTGTTTTGTAAAAAAGCAACATGACCCTGATTTGTTAGCCTGACGGCGTCGGGAGGTAACGAGAAATAAAAGGAGACTTGTGAGAGTCACTGAACAGCCGGAGGTAGAGAGACGAGAATGTTATTTTTAACACAAAACAGACACAAGTGTTTTCACCTGTAACTTGATCGAAAGCCCCCAAGGTGCATCAATTGACTGGTGGCCTTCTATTCACGCAAGACTTGAATTAGTCCCATTTTTTTAAGGCTAAGAACCTTGATTCTTTGTTGTAATGTGCAATACTGTTTGTACTGTTTGTAGAAAAGAAGAAAACAAGAAAAAGAGGCATAAATCTTTATTGCAGAATTATTTTCATTGCAAGCATTGTGATTCACTAAAATCATTTTCTACTGTGTATTTACCTACTCTACCTGCTAGTACCTTCCAGTAGTAATGTAGCCTTTGTACTGAGAAATTTTCATTATTTTTAGAAAGTTTTGCTAAAAAAGAAAAGAATTTAAACATATTTACATATTTTCATTTTTATTTCGTATTTTTTCTTTACAGACTTATTTCTCAACCATTAATAGTTATTTCTGGGGGAGACTTTCATATCTGGTCAATGTCATTAATATTATTTTGTATTTTTACTTGGAATAAATTAATTTTATGATGCTAATTCTTTAAAAGTTTATTTTTTTCGTTTGTTCACTTTTTTCATTTTTTGAAGCTAAAAAAAAAAAAGAACTTTGTAATATTGTTACTAAAGTGTCTCGATTCTTGAAATGCTAAGCTTTCTGTGTTAACTCGCTGATGTTGCTTACATTAGTGTGAAAATGATCTACGGAGAAAAAAAAAAAATACTTCTCACAAACAACAGATTGGTGGTTGGTGATGTTTAAGTGATTCGCAATGTAAAACAAATGAATGGGCAATAAAATAAAAATGGCAGAATGGAGCATACACGCCGTATGTTGTGATGTAATTGTGGAAGATGGACGACACCACTGACCATTTACACTGCTTCTGCTACTCCAATACTACTCCTACTACTACCACCACTAACTCTACAGTCACCCAACGGCCATGTCACTCTCCTCCTCTTCCTCGTAGGTTCGGCCCCTGCAGAGTGCACCAGTGTGATTGTATTTAAGTATGAATGTAAATGTAGAGATGCACTGTATAATATGCTGAGTTTGGGAAGAGCATGTGTCAATATTAATTATTCATAGGAGACAATGGTCTGAACTGGGTTCTTTTCTTCCCCCAACTTTCGGTTTGTTTCTGTATTTTAGTTTCTTTTAATTTATTTTTAATTTTTTTGCAAAAATTTTCCCCCTCCTGAACTTCCGCCTTAAAAAGACTAGTTTGACATTTTGGGAATTATTTGTGTTCTTGCCGAGAGTTCAGATGAGAAGATTGACCTCGCTCTCTCGTTTGTACTCTACATAAAGAACAACAGCCAGGAGAGGCGTAGCTTAGCTTAGCATTAACCCCCCGTAACATTGAAGCCTTTTAGCCGTCGGTTTGTGTAGTTTTTACACTTCATTTTGTGTATTGATTATTAAAAAAAAACAAGGTATAAAGTGTTAATTTGGGAACTCTAGAGGTTTTTTTTTTGGTCTGTATGCTAAGCTAAGCAGCTGCAGTGGCGTTGATGTTCTCGTCTAACTCTCGATTAGACAGCGAATGAGCGCAGTTCACACAAATGTCAAACAATGTCTCAAATTTAGGCTGAAGTGTTTTTGACGTCCCCACTGCTCATGTGAGGGTGTTATTTCTGGCCGGCCTTTTCTACCAGTTTATACAGCTGATGCTAATACCAACCCCCCCTCCCCTCCCTCCGTCCCTCCCTCATCTCATGTCTTTGAAACAGTCCCATACTTTCCTCTCTCCCAGGCCTCAGTACGTTCACCACCATACCACCAAGTATTTATCTCCTGGCCCTTTAGGGTTGTTTTTAAGTTTCTCTTTCACTTAAGGAAACAATGTATACCTGAACTATAACACAAAGTGTATGTGCAAATGAAAAAGATCATGATTTGGATGATGGCAACCATTTTATATATTCCTCTCTATAGATAAACGTATGTATTTCATGTAACTAGACTTGGATAGTATACTGTATATTCACTTCTGCTTCATGGGCGTTCTCTGGGTAGGTAAACACTGTAGGTCTCGTCATGTTGTGATCTCAAAATAGATGAAGAAAAAAAAAAAGATTTGGTAGTGTGCTTTTTTTCCCCACAAACATCCCACTACTTTTGAAATGTACATTTGTTTTTACGTGAGGCATATCTGTGCTTTTATTTTCTAGGTTTTAATTTCCTGACTTGGACACTGGTTCTATCTTGGCGAGGCTGTTTGAGATTGTTGACTTGGTCTGAACTTTTTTGCAGTATAACTGTGATTTGAAAACATGGAGCTCAATGCTGCTAATGCTTACTACTGCTTCAGAGTTTGTAGTTCCCACCTTAATTTTTCCTTTTTCTGTACTAATAAGCAAATCTTATTAAACGTAGTTGTATGACGCTGTGAAACCTTGTGGTCTTTGGCATGGCATCCTCTCCTTCTGTCCCCTGTTAATGCACCAGACCTTATAAAAAGCTGACCAGTACTAACTCGCATTGGCAACTTACTGTCTTTACATGCACACATCTGTCCTTTCACTTTCAACAATATCGAACGGGTATTTGATGAAACAACCTCCGCACAAAGACCATTTAGTAGCCGTTCTGGAGCTTTCCGTCGGATCTTCGTGGGCAGATGCAGTTGTCACGGAGTTCAGATTTTGTGGAAGCAAAGAAAAGACGTAAGGATAGGAATCCTGCAAAGGCTACACTGAAGTACTTTACTTTGAAAACCCATCTGTCTGAATTTATGTGGTTTTAATTCTCTGACATTTAGTTTGCAATCAAATTCAGACACCAAAATTAAAGATTGAACAATTTCTAAAACGTACACATCTGGACTACAGGTGATAATCAAAGCAGACCTTCTCTCCGTCACATGATCCAAGAAAGATGAGCTCAGATAAGTGACTGGAAACTCTGCAGCCATGACTTTTAGATCTGAAAATGTGAGCCTGAAATAACAATTTGAAACAGTCAAACTTGACCTTCTTGACTGAGAATTTGTAGACACAGACTACAATTTAAGTCATACATTTGTTATTTCAGTTAACATTAAACTAAGTATTCAGCAGTGTTTACACAAAAGGTATTCAGTTGCTTATAAAATTATTTTAGCCTCTTTGCTCCCATACAATTTCCACTTTCCTGAGCATTTTCAGGACATCTCGTCCATGTCAGCTTAAAAGGTGAGATTTAAACATCATTGTTGACCTTGGAAACTGAAGTAGACAAAAACAATATCACCAAGGTCCATTTAGTGGTTTAACTTAAAGCTCTGAAGCTCAACTTTAAAGGTCAATGTGGATGAGAAGAGTGAAACGACTCCAGCTGCTGCTGTGTGCATCTTCCTTTGTTCTCCCTTGCTGTGACAGTAATAAAGCAGCAAGTGAGCCTTAAATATGTTTGTGTCAGAAGAGTAATGTGACCATATTTCAGGTTATTGTTATTATTCTTGGATGTACAACACCACCATCTACTGGCCGTCAGCGTCCATATGCAAAGATTAAAAACAGAATAGATGTGTAGTTCAAAGGTTTGTAGAATTTATTACAATTCCACCATCATAAACAAAAAGCAGCAATTGCAGAAATATGTACAAGTCTATTATTTTTTTTAAAATACTTGTGGCAAGTTTCAGGTACCAGTTTCACATTGGCCCCATGTTCAGTCTCTGTAACGCTGCTTCAAGTGCAGTGCTTTCCCAGCTCTTTTAAACCACATGTGGAGGAGCTGGCACACGACAACCCAGGTTCTGTCATTCCTCCACAAAGCCTTGATGTCCTCATGTCATGTGACCAGACTCTCCTGGGGCGAGTAGACACTACCGCCATCTGGAGGTTGGGAGTCATCTTGTCTCCGGAGCTCAGCAGTGACCGGTGTGCTATAAAAAGCCAGTACACCGTGTTGACATCCTGTGGTTTCTCCAGCGAGCTCGTCACTCTCGCCCAGTTTCCCTTTGTTGTACAAAAACATGTTTGTATCCATCAGTCAGAGAGGCGTTGACAAGTGGCTGGGTATCGCAGTGCTTTTAAGACCTTGTGATGAGGGAGGAAGGGAGGTGCAACTGAGTAATGGTGTCTGAAGCAGTTAACACTGTATACTCGGGCAATGCAATGTGGGAAGGAGGGCAGTGGGCTGTAAAAGTAGCACCTGGTGCTGGAACTATAAAGGATAACTGTAATTATGATACGCTGTACGCTTCAGAGACTACAGCAACATCAGTGTACACAGTGGGGGCGCTGCTGTTTACCAATACAGATGATGTCAATTAACACTGGAGATGTCTGTCGCAGATGGTACATCATACCATTATACTCTCTTAGCAGGTTTGTAAAGGGTTTGTTGTTTCTCAACAAGGAATTATGGGATGTTAAGAAATATCAGAAGAAAATGTTTTAGCGTATGATACCTATTGATTTGAAAGCACTAAAGATAGATTTAGTTCTCGTTTTGGCTGTGTTTTATTTTGTTATTGCTTTGGGACTAACTGTTAGCGTTCAGTGACTCCTTGTTGTTATTATTGTGTGTAAGGTTTGGGGGGGGGGGGTCTCGTCAGGCTCTGACCAGGTCCTGCTTGGCCAGCAGATGGAAGCTGTGTGGGGGCTGTATACAGTGCTACTGCAGGGAGTGCATGAAGGTGTCCAGGTTGTACTCGGTGTCGTACTGCTGCTGGTCCCATAGCTCTCCCAGGCCGTCCAGCACAGACTTAATGGAGGACTTCCCTGAGGTCGACGGCGAATGCTCACCCTTCTCACCCTTCTCACCCTGAAACACATTTACATACACGACAGTTCAGGCAGGATGTACACAATATTCCACAGGTATAGTAGCACAACGTGCCAGATGAGGTGTTTGTCAGGAATGCCAGCTAGCAGGGTTTGGCAGGATTTTTCTAAGCAGACTAAACTGCAGGAGTGACCGACGCAGTTAGATAAAAATAACAAACACTAACTGAGTTTGTACGCCTGACGCCTTTACATTTTAGTTGTTGGGTTTCTGAGCAATTTTGTAGTTTTCATAGTTAGACTGAGCGATATATTTCTTTGTGTATATTTTTTTGGTTGGATGAAGAAGATGTGGCCACTTTTAACATCTATGGATAAATACTAATAATTAAATAATGAATAAAAATGATCAGATGACACCCACTACTATGTTTCTCCTCCTCAGTCTGGTCTCTGACTCTCCATGACAGAAACTCCTGGGGGGTCTCACCTTGTCCAGAGTGAAGAGGTTGAGGAGCTGGCCTGTTTCCATGCTCTGCATGCTGGCGTTGTCTTGGCTGATGACCGTGTTGGCGATGCTCATCTTGAATTTCTGCAGACCCATGATCTTCTCCTCCAGCGTGCCTCGCGTGATCAACCTGTACACGTTCACGACCCGTTTCTGCACGATGACAACACAATGTATTAGATGTGTAGGACTGCCAATTTAATTTCACTTGGTTCATTTTGCACCACTGGTTTCAGACAAGGGCAGCCGTGTCACACAATCCAAGGCTGTTCAAAGGCCTTGATTAATAATGCATCAAGGAAACACTGATGAACGAATGGGGAAGCAACAGAAGCATCTTGAATTCAGCATCATCTTAATGAAACTGGAATTCATCAGAGGAACTGATGATCTAAATGTTATTGGGATGTGGCCTGTATGGTTTTCTCTGTCTATTGATGTATGCTAACGGTACCTGTCCTATCCTATGGGCACGATCCATAGCCTGCAGGTCCCTCATGGGGTTCCAGTCATGTTCCACAAACACCACGGTGTCTGCACCTGTCAGGTTCAGACCCAGACCACCAACATGTGTGGTCAGCAGCAGCACGTCAATGGAGGGGTCATTGTTAAACCTGAAATACAGAGGGAAGAAAGCCAGGGAGAAGAATTAGACTCTGGTGGCAACTCACATTCACAATAAACAGGCAGCACTGAGCAATAAAAAGTGACTACACTACTCAATCCACAGACCTGGAGACGATGGAGTGGCGCAGGCCTGCCTGCACGCTGCCGTCCAGCCTCAGGTAGGTGACTGAGGGCAGTTTGGGTTTCAGCAGGTCGTGCTCCACAATATCTAGCATGCTCTTTAGCTGACAGAAAATGAGCACACGATGCTGGGCCACCACTGCCTCTGTGCCCCCCTCTGAACCGCCACTGCCACCAAGACCACAGTCCAACAGCAACTGGAGAACAGAAGACACATCAGAGCCAGTGTGAGACAGTCAAGGTGGACATTACAGTTAACCCTGTGAAAGGGTGATTTCATGGGCTAACAATCTGGTCCAGAAAGTGTTCTTCACCAGGAAATGTTTGTTCCTTTCTTTTCTCCATTCTTTTGCAAGCATATCACTTTTATGAAAACTCTTATGAAAAGGAAAACATTTTTTTTACAAAATCCACATTATGAATTATGTAAAACATATTCCAAACTGAGCAATTGTGTATCCGCTCGAAAAGCCGACTTCCCAGGACTTTACCTGTTTGAGAGCGGAAAGTTTGGGCGCGTGCTGAATGTCCCGCAGCGTCGTGTTTTGACTCGTCAGCTGCTCAGTGATGCGTTTGTACTCTGGATGCTGTGGAGTCAAGACCAAGCTCGGGTGGTTACACAGTTTCCGCAGGTACTGGAGCGCCTGAAATGTAGGGAAAAAATATATATAATTAATAAATATTATTATTATTATTGCATACAGTAAGTATTATAAATTAATGCTTTGACTGCAAACCACCACACACATCTGCTCCACAGAACATTTCATTCAAAATCGAAATATATTGTGAGAAATGTTCACAGGCATGTGGAGCGATGGGTGGCAGTGATGCCCTCAAGATATGCAGCAATTTGCCAAAAAAAGCAGGAAAGGAATGAGGAAGACTACTAATAAGTAAGAGAGAGTGTGACACACACACACAATGTTAATTTTATTCATAAGAATCAGCAGCATGCAGTTATGTGCTCCGATTGCTGGGATGAAAATATGACATTGTGTATGTGTTTACTAGATAGAGATAGTGTGAAAAATCCACAGGGCAACTTTAACTGTTGCTGCAGAGCAAGTTCAGATTTAATGCTGGCACGAGATAAATGTCTAGAAACCAATCTGTACCTGGAAGACATGTCCTGTGGCCTTCAGTTTCGGTTTTTCCTCCTCTTCCGTAGAGGCTGTAGAGATGCTGTCCTCCACACTGGCCTTGGCTCTAGACTTAGCAAAGTCTTCATATAGCTGAACCTGCAGGTCGAGAGAAAGCACACCGGGTTGTAACACTGAGGCTGAGCTGTTATCCAGTTGTAGTTCCTGTGGAAAACTGCCACTACTTCTAACCTACAATTAGCATACATCTCATTTACAAAAGCATTAGACTTCCATGGAATCCCTTTAGCTGGCCTGTAATATTAGCTACTTTTGGTCAACAGAAGACAGTTTAATATCCCAGATTACTGTAATAATCTCATGGCAAGAAAAATTAAAATGCAAAACTGGGGCACTTTGAATAATTCATTATAATAATATTAAAAAGACAGAGCAGTGCTAGGGAATTTGGTACAGTTAATGATACTGACAGCCTGTGGGTAGTGGTATTGCCTATTAGATAGTTGAAGGGGGCCACAGGTACCTGTAGAGGACTCAGGTTGCAGTAATAGTCCTGAATTATTTTAGGAGGAAGGTCCTGCAGGACATCCTCCTTCATCCTCCTCAGAAGGAACGGTAGCACCTGTCGATGTAGGGCCTCCATCGCCAGGACACCTAGAGGGAGAAACCAATATTAACCACAGTTAATGTCCTAATCTTAATAAGATTCTTCATAGAAATAAGAGGTTATGAAAAGTAATATTCAGTTAGAAATAAAATAAAAAAGGCAGAGAGCTGGTATACCTGCTTCCTGTTCCCGTGAGGAACTTTTGGCGTCACGGCTGGCCAGGATCGGTTTACCATAGCGAGCAGCAAACTGGCGTTCCGTTCCAAGGAAGCCTGGCATGAGGAAGTCAAACAGTGACCAGAGCTCCAGCACATTGTTCTGGGGATAAAGTAGAGGAAAACATATTCATGCTCTGACTAGTAAACGTAAAAGTACAATTTCAAAAATCTAAAATTGTGTTATTAAATCACGTTATGATAACTTTATGACAATATACAAACATACAAGACAGATTAAGAAACATTAAAGATTTGATAGAAAAAAAAAAAAAAAGTTCCAGTCATCTATTTGCTATGAAGACGGAAGCTCACTTGAATGGGCGTTCCTGACAAGATGATCCGGAAGTTGGCAGCCAACTGCTTAATTGCTTTGGAAAGTTTGGTTTTCCCGTTTTTGATGACATGACCCTCATCAAGGATACAGTAGTTAAATTTTATATTTCTAAGGGCAGAAAAGAGAAGAAGTTTCTATTAAAAACTGAGCATCTACCTCAGAAACACAAAGGCAGATATTAAAATTAGAATAACACCCACCTAAAAAAGTCGATGTCATTCCGTACAACATCGTAAGAGGCTACTATGAGATTGTGTTTTTTCACTTGGTGTTGCAACCTGGAAAAGCAAATGTGTATTTAGGGTAATGAATTGAGGATATAAATGAGACACGTGTGTTTGTGCAAAACCAAAAATAAAAAGCGCTTTGTTCTCCTGAACAGTTTTGTTCCATTGTACTCATTCAGCTTAGAAAACCTAAAACCTTAAGGACGAGGACATAAATCATTTTCTATATGCTGACGGGGTTGCTGTAAAGTCTGAGTAAGCTTTACCGCATTCGTTCTGTAGGAGGCCCAGTGTAGTGCAGTGGGTGGAGGAACTCTTTGGTGCAGAACTTGCCCACTTCGTCCACCCAGTGGCCAGTCAGTGTGGGGGGACAAACCACCAGAGAAGGCATGGGGCTGCAGTCGGCGGCCTTAGTCTTGGCATACTCCTGTGCTCTGAACAGACATCAAACATACAGCAGCCTGAGTGAAGTTTACTTACACAACACTTCAAACATAAAAACAAATGTTTTAAAGAACAAAAGATCAAAATGAGATCAAACGAGTGCATCAAAACTGGGACAAACCACTGTTTATATTGAAAATGTCAAAGCCTGCTTGTCTATTGTTTGACAGCACAGGATTATTGTAGTAATAAAAGAATAGCAACTAATACAAGACCTTTTCATAATAACAATGTTTTACATAACAAGCTAACATTTTGAGGGAAATTCACTTCTTTTAACCGTAGCTATTTAATTGTGGCTCATCAATTCATGTGTTGACGTGCAAATGTCAAAAATTTAGAACATTTTTAATTTTAATATATGTAGATGACTGACAAGAATTAATTCTCATGAAGAGCTGTCCGCATCACCAACTGTTTACTAGTAGTATATTAATATTGATTACATACACCATTATACCATATAAACAACTGCTTAAATGGATAATATTTCTACTCCTATTTTACTATTGAATTATACATTTTCTTTACAAGTCATACAAATATGAAGTTTCTATAGAGGGAACAATCATATTGTATATTGTGCCTCTGAGTGGTAGAATATATGGCATCAAGGTAACGCTGTAGAACTGAAAGTCAAACGGTATAGTGCTGTCTGGACTCAGTACCTGAGGTAGTGATCTCCTGCCAGAATGCAGATGGACTGCAGCGTCTTGCCGAGGCCCATGTCATCACACAGGATCCCATGCAGCTTGTATTTGTTCAGGAAGGACAGCCAGTTCACTCCATCCTGTAAGATAACACAAAGACACACACTGAAAACACCAAACGTAAACATCTGCTCACTAAAAACAAGACAGCAGTTGGTTTCAGTAACATTTCCCCCTCAGTCAGTTAAGGTTGAGTGGTTGAGGACCAATAGTAGGAACAATGGTAGCAGTATTTAAACTGGATTTCTGCACTGCTCCATTAAAGAGATGGATAGTTGGTCTCAGCAGAGCTGCCAGCATATAACATTTCTAGAAGCAACCTGCACACATAACCTCTCTCTATTCGACAGCTTTAACGTTTATTCTGTCAAGAAAACCATTTGTTGTCAGAGTCTGTTTCTTTACTTCCTGCCAGCCTGCAGCAGTTAAAGCAAAAGATCATTCCTGAACCTGGCAGAAAAATGATCAGACTCGAGGTGAAGAGGCAGCTCAGGCACAAAACAACAAAGTGTTCAAGGAGTTGTTTCAATGTATAAAAAGGGATAGGAATAGGAATAAAATAGGAATCGCAGAGACACAGTGAACCCTGACAACTGACACGCACCTGCTGGTACTTCCTGAGCTCTGCCTTAATGGGCACAGGGATCTTGTAGTTCTCCAGTTTTCTGCCATCTAGTAGTTGCTCCAGGAAGTGCCGTTCTCTGGCCTTCTGGCGGATCAAGTCAGCTGACATGGCTGGAGGGTCTGGTATACCTGCCTGGTAGACAGGAGGGGGGAAAAAACCAACTTTTATCCTGTGTTCTAGCAGTGAATTATCTAATCCAGACTCTTAACTTTGCATAAAACATTTCAGCCTCCTGTTTGTGTGCTCCTACCTCTAGGGGCAACAGGCGGATAAGTGTAGCAAAGCACTGTGTGGCCATGAAACGGATGCTATCGCTGGGGTCACTCATTCGGCCCAGCACGGGTACTACGAGCAGCACAATGTAGGGCACAATGTCCACATCCAGCTGCTCCATGACACCTGGAGGGATGTTAGTCAAGGACGGTACCGTACAGAAATAACAGCAACAACTACAAGGTCAATGCTTTAATCCTTTAAAACTCAGAAGCAACATCCTCACACTGCTTGCACCCTGACAACTTTAAAATAGCATTACTGCAGAGTATCTGTTATGAAAGGCATTTATATTGTGCAATGGAAGAAAAATGTATCTTAAGTGGCATTATCTGTGAAGGATACAGGCCAAAGCCTCGATGGCGCCCTCCTGTTTGGTGCAGTCTTCAATAGCAGCTAACCAGGGGAGTACACACTCAAGGAAACTGTTCATGGTTTCCAGCATGGCTATCTTACTGAGCACACCAACGCAGCGTGCAGCCATGTGGCGCACTGCTGTGTATGGGTGCTGCAGGCAGGTGAACAGATGGGGAATGTGCTCCAGTAACTAGAGAAACAAAACAGGAGAGACACAATAAATGACTTGCACTGTAACTGTTGTTTAAAAAGATCCTTTTATGAACTTGTCCTGGAAATCCCTCCCTTCAGGCTAAATACTGTTCTATAACTCTTATACACACACTTTTTGAGACGGACCCTTTGATGGTCCAAGAACAGTTTGAAACCAATAGTTAACAGATAAGTCTTTATATGATGCAATCATCACCATCACTGGTAAGAATTTAGTAAAAACAGTAGCGCAGTCTTGGTGGATCAGTCTTACCAAAGGTTTGAGTTCAGCAGCCATCGCCCCAGCCATGACCTCCAGCACTTGTAGAGAGTTGACCAGTTCCTGAGCTGCAGTGTCTCCCCTCTCCAGCTGGACCTGCCTATCTAGAACACACAATAGACACAAAGTGATACAGAGTATTGACTACATACATAAATCTGAGTCCTGGATTATACCGAGAGCATTATCTTGGTGAAGTAAAGTAAATTGATATAAATGGATATGATGCAACCTCTCTTATGACTGAGATAACAGATACTTTGTGTGCAAAGTGCTATGAATCATCCTCAGAGAACTACAAATTCAAACAAATGTTTGCATCAACAACGATACAGTTTATATTATAATACTTGCTTTTTTTACACAACACACTAAAAAACAGCGTAAGACTGGTTGCCAAAAATCAACATACCAATGCGTTGATTTTCAGTCACCACTGTTCTCAGTGGTCCCACGGTGTTCTCCCACAGGTATGGCAGAGACTTGGTGAGGTCTGTGCCAAAGTGCCTGGCAACAGTTGTTAGGGAGAACTCTGCTCCACGTCTCTGAATAAGAAATGGCTTCTTGCTCTAAAAAAAAAAAAAAAAAAAAAACAAATGTATGGGTGGGGGGGTTAAACACAACTTGTTGTCATTATGACCTGAATGTGAGGAAAATGTACAGTCGTAGTACCTCATCATTATCAGTGCTGATGGTGCTGCCAGGAGGAAGCTCTGTGGTGGGGGTCTTTGGGGCTTTAGGGGCTGGCCCCCTCTTACTGGTGATGGCAAATGCTGCCCTCTGATGACGGTAAAGGGTGATGATGCCTCTGGTTTTGTTGACCATGTGATGCATGGCATCTTTCTCCAACCCACCGCCTAATGGCATGAGAAATACGGAGAGAGAAATATGGTCAATAGCATGCAAGCAAGTACTTCTTCACATGACACACAATTATTGGAGGCTCTGTTGTACTTTTCATTCAACAAATACAGAAAAAGAAAAACGATTTATTTTTAAGTCACTCTCAAAAAACATCAGTGGAATGGTTAAAATGTCAATGAAAACCTCGTTTTGGACACCCTGCTGGTAGCTGACAAGTTGAGCAACATTACTGAAAATATGCCCAAACTTCAACAACTCTTACCTTTGGCATTTTCCTGTGTGGGGGGTACAGGGCAAGCAGATGAGGGTGTGACTGCGGAGTCCACGCAGGCTGAGGCACAGAGGTTTTTGATAATCTTGGGGTTGGGGCACGGCAAGCGTCCTGCACACTGCTGTAGCAGTTTGGCTATAAAAGAAGCAGCATATCCCTGGATCAGGGTATTCTCCTCCCTCTTGATGGCCTCCATCAGAGGCCTGACCAGTGGATTGAGCTTGTCAGGAAGCACCTGCAGGTTAATCACTGCGCAGGCTGTGAACATGTGGACGCGCAGATGCAGCTGCTGCCATTCTGTGTTGGTCTCCATCACTGTTGCTTGAGCTTGCTGTCGTTTACTGTCCAGTGCCTGCCACTGTTTGGACTTTACGTTCAGACCCGCTGTTGACTCTGTGAAGATGGTGGTTACCTAGGCAACAAGCAGAGGGGAGAATGTGAATGACTGGAACGAGAGCGATCGGTTACAGAGTGCAACATCCATTGGCCTGAGAATCAGCTGGGTACCAAACCATTACCAAAGCTGTCAGCCGAGGAAATAAAGACCGGGACAGAAAACAAATTACAGTTGGATGATACGAAAAACCTTCAAAGACTTAATGGGCATAATAAAGAAGAACCAAACTAAATTTGCAGTTTAATTAAGAACAAAAATAAACTGGTGGTGTTCCCACAGCACAAAGTACAGTTTCCATCAATTTATTCTATACAAACAGAGACTGCCCCACTGTAGCGCATCAGTAGAGAGAAATTACTTCCATCAGTTCACACACTGGAAGGGTAGTTATTGACTTGGGGTCACCCATTACAAGATGCAGTTTGTGGGTTTCAAATGTCAGTTAGAAACGAGGATATCACATGTGAACCATAACATATATATTCTTGAGCAAACTAGAACAAACTACTCTGATGTGTGTGCGGTTGGACCTACCAGTTCACTAGCTTGATCAATAGTGAAAACACTACAGTTGAGGCGGTCTTGCAGGTCTATTTGGGAATCAGCTAGCAGTGCAATGAGCTGCTTGCACTCATTCTGCATGCGTGTGAAGGGGATGGCAATCTCATCATAGTACAAGTGCTCTGATAGAATGGCCAGAAGACGAGGCTGCACCATGGATGACACCACTTGACAATCCTGAAAGAGAGAATACAACATAAATGTATTAGGCCTTTAAATGGTTGATTCCATTATGTTCATACATCACAAAAAAACAAAACTGTCCAATCTGTAATGATTCCACAACAATCAAACTGTCTGAGCTTTTCACCTTCTGCAGTGCAGCCCACTCGCAGAGCACCAGAGACACTGCTATGCGCTGCAGGGCAGACTTGGAGTTGAGGTGAAAGAGCAACAGCTGGCCTAAAGACTCAGCTGGTCGGATCTCCTGAGATGCAGCATTGAGCTGAGGGTCACAGATACACCGACACAGAGCCCCAAGCAATCTGGATTACACAGATACAAAGAGCAGGGAAACACTGTCACAACTGTTATCATCTTTATCTGCTTTTTATTAACTATTCATCTAGCAAAAAAATCTCAAGTTCACCTAAAGATCAATACTGATAACTTCCTTTCTGTCCAATCAAAACTTACTTGGCAGCCATGAGGCGAGCTCGAACCACTACATAGTCCCTTGTGACTGAGTCATCCGTCACCGTCTCTGCACCTGCTATATACTCCTGGACCGTTTCCTTCACCTGATTGGTCCCTAGGCGTGCCTTTGTGCCAGCCTTATCCTGTTGAATTAACACAACATTAATTACTTAAGTTAACTAAACAAAAACAAATAAGAAAACGAAAAAGAAAAAAAAAAAACTACATAAATGTCAGGGAGCAATGTAACGAGAAGCTTGTCGCCACCACAACATTTGTCTCTTTCTCTGTTCCCATTTCTAACTTGTGTTCAACCACATTTCATTAAACAAACTGGCTATTAAAGTTACTTCTGGGTTGAACGGGGCTTCTCTGCTGGATTTTTTTTTTTTTTAAGTTCCTCCTCTGGACTGTTCAGGTTGCTAAAGCACCTCTTGCTCAAACAAACAGAATCAGGCATGGCTTGTTTGTTACCCTCACCCTGTCTGCTACTCTGTCACCTAGCAACCTCAAAGAGGCTCCTTGTTTTGTATGCTGTCTTGAGGTCTCTCTCGCTCTCTCTTGTTCTCTCCCTCTATAATTATGTCACACATTTACTTTTTTAGTTATTTAATGTTTTACATTAGATGTGTTGCATTTGTATATAACATTTATAGCAATTTACACATTTGGGGAAAAAAAAACGACCTTTAGATTAGTTTTCCAAAATCTTAAACATAAATTATTAAACCAAATAGCAGCTATTGATCTTTGAATAGGGAATCCATTTTAATTTGAAGACATAACCACAACACAGCTAAGAATAGAACATAAGAATACTTATTCTTCAGCCTTATTTGGTCCTTACTGCAGCAACCCTGGTTCGATTCCAACAGGCGGGCATTTACTGCATGTCATCCCTTCTTACCCTCTACACTGTCCTGTCACTTTACAGCTACTCTATCAAATAAAGGCAATAAAAAAGCCCCTCAAAAAGTCTTTAAAAACTAAAAGTGTACAACCTTGCAGCGGGCCTTCACTTCCAGCAGCATGTTCAGGTCTATGGGAATGTGTGAGGCCTGCATCATGAGACAGAGCCAGGCACCCATCCATGGACAGCTGGCTGCTACCACGTACTGCTGGGGGGCCTGAGACAGCAGCTCCATCCACACCTGTAGTGACACACATAATTAACAAAGCTTATGATGGGAACTGAAAGAAATGCCTGTATTGTTTCACTTCCAATGATCAAACTCAGGCTCTCTTAGTAATTTTCCCCATGAGATGAAGCGGTAGCGTGGGTGATGCAACAAACCTTTTGAACCAGTTCCAGGATTTCCTCATTGCTCTCCAGTATGCAGGACTGGAAGATGTGCCGGAGCATATCTTGTAGTATGGGGTTGATCCACAATGCACAGCTCTGAAGAACAAGAAACATGAAACACTGCCTTAATGTGTGTGCAACACATTCACTAGCATTCAATTGATTGTTGAATCTTGTGTATTAAGACTGGATATTCATGTAATATATGGCAGAGTACTTTTATAGAAATGGCTCCGAGTCAAATTTACCTGGTCAGCTTTAGACAGCAGCGTGAAAAGGGTTTCCAACGCTGCCCGTCTTACTGATGATATAGTATGTCTCAAGAACGGCCAAACTCGAGGGACCAGGACTGTTAATGACTGCTGTATGCTAGAGTGGACAACAAAGGGTGTCAATATAAATACACAATCAGGAAAGGCCCATGCAGGAGTACAAAAGAACTAAAATAATAATAAAATACCACCTTATTACAAAATGTATACGCTTGACCCCAGCCAATACTTAAAGTATCAGTGCTCATCTAATTGCATTTGTATCAAGTTTGCTCAGTAGTGGGCGTGTATTGTTGGATTTTGTGCTTTTATGTAAATCCAGTTCAAATGAAGTTCAGCCAACCTTGGCACAGTGCTGATACGGGTAGTAACACACAACCACAGAATACAGAGGAGATAATTTGCCTTCCTTCAGCTTTTTACCTTGAGATTTGATTTCAGAAAATTAGATAAGTCACAATAGTGAGTTTCTTGTGAAGTGGAGTTAAATAAAAAAAAAAAAGAAAAAAAGCAACACAGTTAAAACTGCCAGAATATTATTCCCTTATGGTATCTCCATTGCTTTTTGTACATATACTGTAGCTGGGAGTGAGTTAAACTTGTTCAACAGTGTTATTAAATGGGACATAAAATATAAATCTGCCATCATACAACCCCCCCCAAAACATCCCTGAGACTGACCTGCACTGTCGGACCTGCGGGTAGGTGAGCAGCGAGGACAACAATGTCATTATGCTGTTGGTGGAAGCAGTGAGGTCATCCAGGTCCAAAAGAGCATCCCATAGTGTGTTCACGATGAATGGTACCTAAGAGACACACACCTCCAAAATGAGGACAATGTATAACTTCCTACAGGTGACAGACTTTAACAAGCTGAAACTCAATAGGATATATTGTTAAAAAATAAAAACAAATAAATAAAAAGAGACTACTATTGCCTCTCTGACCTTATTAGGCAGTAGCTGTACCAAGCCGTCAACCACAGGGATGAGGGATGAAGCTGCCACTGCCCTGACGTCATCATCTAGGTCCTGTAGCCCCACAGTGACAGCAGGGAGCACCCGCGGCAGTAAAACAGAGATCAGATCCTGAAAGACGAAGAACAGACAGATGAAGATCAGTACAGATGTACCGGTATGAGATCAGAAAGAATGGCCTTTAATGACACACAAGGACCACATATGCTTGTAGGCTGACATACACATATCTTCCCCCCACACAATTTATATTCATGACCATATGGCGTTCATATCGAATACACTGTAGAACCCTGCTATGCTTTTTTTAACAGCTCATCATATACACAAAGAACAGGCGGTACCTGTCGAACAGCCAGGGCGTACTTGATCCCGAGCAGGCCTCCATGACGGACCTCCCACTGGTCTTCTGTTAGCAGCTTCAGCAGGACGTCTACTGTCATGGAAACACCAGTTTCATTCATGTGGCGAAGGGCCACACCGAGAGTCTGGGCACACGTCTCCCTGACAGGAGCCACCACCTGGTCAAAGGAGAGAGACAGATATATGGGATAAGTGCAAAAACAGGGAATGTCATAAATTTAGCTCTTTATCTAGTTAGCTACACGCAGTTTGCCAATATGTGGCTGATATTGGTCCAGTAAGCCACCATTACTATGACATATGATGCCATTTGATTACATATTTGTTACACTGCGATATAGATTTTTTTTTATAGCAGTGTCATTATGAGTTTTGTTCCACCTCCCATAGACATGTAGTAGTAGGAGTTTGTCATTACGTAAACCTTCAAACCAATAAAACCCTGCACAAGGTCAATTCAATGATTAGTTCCTCCTCTCTGGTTAAACCTCATTTTTAAAAAGGGTACATGCTGTGGTTTTGTATTACATTATTCTGGCTCATGTTTATTTTGTTTCACCTTACATGCTGCAAGTAATAGGGCAAATGTTTCACAAGGAACTGTAACACACAAATGTCTTAAAGGTCACTGCGTCTTTTTTAGACTAATACAAAACCACTTTAGCTAGAGTTGAACGGTCATACCATGCATCAGAACGGTTGAAACACAATTACTATATTTAGGAGAAGTAAGTGTGAATGCCAAAAACCACTGCCTTGCACAAATATAGAATGATTTGTTACATGTGCTCCTTTACTATGTTGCATGTCTCACATATAAAATCAGTCTTTTTTTTTTGCATCTTCTCACACACTGTTCAGCTGTCCAGCAGGGGACCCACCTCATCTGATACAAAATCTCCAAAGCGGTCGAGAGCGAAGACACAGAGCAGCCGGATGACCAAGTCCTCTATCCACTCCTGATGCTGCCGCAACATCTAAACCAAGACATCAAACGGTTCATATCATGTTTAATTCTAACAAAATGTAAAAAAAAAAAAAAAAAAAAAACCTGAGGGCAGAGTAAAGATATACCTGTTCTGCAGTGCTGCCCACCAGCTTCCCGCCCCCAGCACCATGGGACTTGAGGATTTCTCTAAGACCGGTGCCTGCACCATGACGAACCTGTAAACATCCACATGCAATCCAATTTTATCTATTCATATTATTTTGCACTGGTCATATAAAGCGCGTGTTAAAATTGAGGTGTCAGCACCCCTTTGTTTATAGCTGGATCACAGACTGCCTTTAACTAAGCCCAAACCCTGATGTTCAAATGTCATCATTAAATGCTTTGTTTTTACCTCCCATGAAGGATTGAAGAGATCATTGCAGAGCTCTTCACAGAAGCTCTCCAGAGGCCACTCATGTATCTAAAGACAAAGAAATGAGAAAGTTATATCATTAAAGAATTGTTAATCATTTTTTTATTTTGTCATGTATTGTAATTAAATGGTTCAGAAAAACTAAAATTCCTTACCTCCTCTAAAAGACTGGAGTTATCGGGAACGTTGTCAATTAAGACTTTATGCTCTGTTGCCGGTTGGTCAATAACTACATTGGTGGTTTTCCTTCGTTTCTCTTCAGGTTCACCTTCAAAACTGTCATTACTGTATGGTGATGATAAGAAAGCACATTTGGCTGAATATTAAGGAAAACAATATGTATAATGATTTCGAATTAAGCCTGTCTTTTAAAAAGATGGTGATGATGATGCAAGTCTGTAATCAAACCAGGCATACTGCAGGTACACGGTATGCATAACAATCTTACCTCTTTTCATTTGGATCCACGTCTCTGGATCTTTGTTTGGCCACTAGCTTAGCCATCCTCTTAGCCTTGTTCCTCTGACGGTTGCTCATGCCTGGTCGAAACTCTGAGTCAATCAACTCAGCAGCCTGAATGGGCTGAAAAATAACAGTGGAGTTGATTATTCATTTTAATGTTTAACTTAACAAAGACATCAGATACACTTAGTGTAGACCAGATTACTGAATGAATCATTAAAACAGATTCATCTTCTGGCTCAAAGCGTTGCAAATTTCCAAGTGATGCATACTGCTTCTAGGTTCAACAGTGGTTCTTTGAGGTTAACTGCATTCTTCCCCTGCCTATTCATGCACAAGTCATGTTCCTCGTTTTATACCGTGTAGAAATTTCTACACTGCCAGTTCAAGTGCAGCTACCTATGCCACACAAACATTTAGATGCTGATTATTTGAAGCATGTTTGACATCTTAAATACAGATCAGGGAGAAATAAAAGTGTTATTGTATTCCCACACTGACATTACCGACATTCCCTGCCTTCTACTAACTTGATGTGTGCAGCGCCTCACAATAGAGAAGGCACACAAGCGTGGAAGATAGGAAGTCTAGACTGCATGATCCAAGACTAAAACTGGAAACACAGAAAACACCAAGGTTTGATTTTATAAAAAGGCAAAGAAAGAGAAAAGAATGTTTCACAGAACGACTGCCAGGCCAGAAGACGATCGAATCTGTATGAATTTGGTCAAACTTTGTGAACAGCTATCATGTTAAGACAAGCCTATCTGCTGCAATGTGAAAAAGGTGTACAATAACACAACACGGTAAGAGTCACATTTGTGACTAGGCACTGCACAGCTCCACAGCAACAGCCTGTCACTGCCAGACAAGTTATAGCCTGCCTTTCTTCACATAATTCAACTTAGCCAGGTAGTCAGTGTGGCTCAGGATTATGGCCTATCTCACTATAGGGCAACACTCAACTGCTGACAGAAGCAGTGACAACAGGCACCACTTCCTGCCTCACTTCTGATTATCTTTGCCGATTTTTCAGTTTTGTAGTGTATCCAAGGCTACAACCTGCAGTAAGATGCATGCTCAGATGTCTGCTGAATCAAAGCTATGAGACCCACCACATGGTTGTGGGAGCTGGATCCAGCTGTGGCTTTGCTTCCATGTGCTCTAAGCGCACTAGTTTGGCAGGTATAGTCTAGGTCGTCGTCGTTGAACAGCTCCTCTGTGTCCATGCCGATGGCAGCACCCATGTCCAGACCCAACTTCTTCTGTAGAAGCTTTCTCTGGCGGGCCAGACGTTCCTTTGGGTCCATCTCACCTGACAACAAATGACAGGAAGTCAGAGGGAAAACTTTAGATTGCCTGGAGAACAAGTACCCTGTAGCTGTGTGAATACTGATTATCATTCTGGAGCTAAAAGCAGCTAGGAATCCAAATTAACAGGATTCCAGGGCCACAAATAAATACAGTAATAGTATCATAATAGCTCTGAAAGTCACAGAAGTTGTGCATGGGACCTTGAACAAGAAGTGAAATTAAATCAGAGAAGCAACGACTGGTATGACAACTGAATGCGGGAAGATGAACTGAAAGGAAGTTAAAATGCAAATGAGCTTCAAAAGAGTAGCTTTCCAATTCAAATTCATAGCCAAGTAGCCATGCTGGTACTGTGATATTTGTGTTTGTGTCAGAATCAACCTCTGATATCAGTGGGGATGTTGCTCTATTCCAGTCTCACTAATAAGTGTGTGGGTTTCTCCATTCAAAGTTTGTTAAGCAAACAAAAGTCATCATTGATCAAGCACAAAGCTCTCCAGTTGCCAGTATCTTATACTCATGGATCCAACGAGCCACACCTTTCCACTTTAAATGTTACAATTTACATAAAGCATTAACACAATATAACTACGTAAAACTTTTCTTCTCATACGTGTGTATGCGGTTGAGTGTAACAGTGTAGCGGTTATGGCAAATAAAAAAAAATAATAATAATATTCAAAATGATAAAGAATCACTACAAACCAGTTTTGTCCTCCTGCAGCTCAAATTCTGCCCCAGCAGACCCCAGCAGAGAGGCCCCATGTTTGAGCAGACGGGAGATGTCAAAGTGATAGAAAGTCAAGCGGTCACAAGGGGAGTCCTCTGGAGACAAGTCTTCACAAGACTCTACAGGATACAAACAGAAGACACTCAAGACTTAATGAATCAGAAGCCATGTCCACACTAATGACTTTCATCAAGAAACAAGCTTGTCTTTTCCACCCATGAAAACCTTCACAGATATTGGGTACCAAGCAGCAGAAATGTTATGAAGCCTTTTTGATTAGAGAACTCATTTTGTACAACAATGCAGCAGATCAAACAACACAGGTGCTGTCAATAAGCTCTATTTATTAATGTGTCAGTTTGTGATTTAAAAAAACAAAACAACCTGTTTCAGTGTAGCAGACCCCGGTGTATGCCTATATATGCCTTGGTTAATATGTAACATTTATGAGCCATGTTTAAATCCTACAGTCAGGTGACAAAAACATGGCTACAGTGAAATACAATGAGTGACCATGGCGAGTAGAAGGCAGCAGAACAGGGTTTAACACTGATGAGGATCTGTAAATGATATTACTGTCCCTGGCGACTGTGAGGACATTCTGTACAGGTTATCTTTTCCAGTTGACTACCAACGGAGCGTATTATGTAAAACCTACGTGTTATCAGTTAGCTCGGTATCAAAATTCGAGCTGATCTCTCAAACATTTTCTGCCACTAAACGGATGCCCAAGTTCCATAACGTCTGTTCAGTTCCAGATAAACCAGCAACGCCACGGTGATTACATGTACTGTGACTAAACTCAAGGGAAATATTAGTGCTTATAAGCATGAGCACTAATGTTTTTTAAATTTAAAAGTGGTTCTTATGACTCAATATTCTCCATTAAGAAGCCTAAAAGCTCACCTTTTTTAGGTTTGGGTGTTGGGTCCCACTCAGGAATATTCTTCACAATGGCCTCTACAGCTTGGCCTGCTGCTATACGTGTGTCCCAGTTGGGACTCCGTAGGTAGGTCAAGACCTTGTAAATGACAGAAGATAGATTTTATTTACTACACATATAAACTTAAAGTTGTCTGAACCATAAAAGAGAAAATGGATGTTGTCCCTTTTGTCACAGTGGATAGAAGATCAGAATCACATAGAAAATTCAGTCCAGCTGCGTTCACACTGTTATACATTGCAAGGACAACCACATATGCCCAGGCTGATGTTATCTTATGGGAGGCAAAGCTCGGACAAAGCTATCAAACATACCTTTGATAGGAGGCTATTGAGTTCATGTGGGTGGAGTTTGACCACTTCTCCAAGCTGTTGGGCCGCCGCTTTCCTGGTTACTGGTGTTGTTCCGGTGTCAAGCAGGATAAACAATCGATCAAGCCTAAAGACAAGTTACAAAACAACAAAAGAAAGGTCAACATAAACACAACAGAACTGAAGAAAAAAAACACATTTAAGCGCATGGATAAAACTATTATGCATTATTAATTGTTGGGCTTTTCACCAAGGTAACCTGTAGTTATTCTGGTCTTAGCAGTCTATTAATAAAGTGGAGTGGATTAGAGATTTACAGGGCGTGACCCCGGGTACCACTAATACTTAAACTGAACTAGGATGTGTCTACTTTGCTATGCAAAAGAGAACCACTGAGACCACGTGGAATTACAATAACAATCACACCAAGTATACATCAAAACAATGTTAGTGGTGCATTTTAAATGAGATTACCATCAAGGACAGGCTGCAAGCACTTGAAGTTTAACATGCTTGTGTGTGTTTAAGTATTGCATTAAATAAACAGACTGCAAAAATAAGTGTATCCAAATGGTGGCGGCTTTAACAACTTCACAATAACGTCAGTTCGCCTTTATTTAACGGAAGAACATCAGCAAAGGCTGTTAAACGCTAAAATATGTTAAATGAATGTTAACTGACACTTCGCACCTGCAGTGGACCATCAGTCCAAGCTGAGTTATAAACCTCCTTCCTCCGGCCCGGCCTGTAAATTACACCATAACGCTACAATGCGTTAGCTCCAGGCTAACGTTAGTCGGCCATTCCTCACCAACACTCTTACCTTGATACAGCCATGGTCCAATTATTATTAAATTAATACTGCCTCCTCCTCCTCCTCCTCCTCCTCCTCCTCTTCCTCCCTTCCTTATATCCGCTTCTTAACGTTTCCAAAGCGGGAGATTAACAGCAACGCTACATGAAGTCAGGCGCTTGTTAGCAGCTAGCCGAGGCCCAGGCGGCTCCGCTCTGTGACCGGCCTCCAACTGCCGCCGTCCGCCCGAACAGAGCGACTTCAACACGGATTCATGGCTCCAAAGTTCTCCGTCCTGGAACTTCGGTATCTTCTCCGGTAAAATATCGCCCCGTGCCGCACGCACATCAATCTGGAGCTCGCGTTACCCTTCAGAAGTCTCCGCGGATAAATATTTTAACCTGACAAGATGTAAAGAGTTATTTTGTCGCACGTTGAGGGCAACCCAGAAGACTGTTTTTATATGAGGAGCCATCTTGCATTTATTCCTTCCTCCATAGCAGGCGGAGGCTGATTGGCTGGAGCCGCCGGGGAGAGCCAATCAGAATGCACGTTAAAAGAGGAAACGAATGAAAAAAAAAAAAGTGAAAAGGGATTTTTTATTTTTTTCCCCCTCTCAATAAATGTTTGAGACATTGTTGCATCCTACGTGGCTGCAGTTTATTTAACATTAAAATGTTACCCTAACTGATTTATATATATATATATATTCATATGCAAGCCAGCTGTGGTGGAACAAGTATTCAGATACTTAAAAGTACAAATGCCACAGTGAGTGAGAAAATACTCCACTACAAGTACATTTAATCAATCAAAATGCTATTTATGTAAAAGTATTATCAGCAAAATGTAGATTTTGATTGTAAGTATCAAATATAAAAGTACTCTTTCTCTGTTTTACTATATTATACATAATGTTTTTTTTAATTAGAATCAGAATCGGGTTTATTATAAGTAGGTTTGCCTCGGTCAGTTGGTGCATAAGAATTAAACATAGAAACATAGAAAGAAATATAGAAAGAGAGACTATATAAATGAGTGAAGAGCTTAGTTAGCAGTGTGACATAGTTTATCAGAAACATTCAAAATCACCAGAGTTGAAAATATTTGGTTTTCACTGGACAGGAAGGATATGAAAAAAGCTGTCAGACAGAGTGAAAAGTAGAATTTTTGCCTCTGAGATGTAGTGGAGTAGAAGTATAAAGTTGCATACAATGTAAATACTCAACTAATCACAAGTTCCTCAAATCTGTACTAAAGTCTCCTACAGTACATTTATTCTGATGTTTTCATGCATTTTCACTATATTTGGTTGTATTGAGTTAATTGAACCGTGAGCTGACCGTGGTCCTGAAACGCCAAAGGTTAACAATCTCATTTTCAAACACAGAGTCCTTATGTTAAGAATTGCAAAGAATGGTGTTTTGGCAAACACCACAAGTGGCACTCAGTAAAGGTTAATCGTGCTTAGTGTTTCAGATAGCTATTGTTTAGGTGGTAGTCAGGGGACAACAGCTGTGACGCTGGCGCCTCATAGTTCAAGTATTTGCAATATGCAAATTAAATGTGTATTTTATTGAACTGGTAACATGCACAAACCTTATAACTATATTTTAAGTTTATCAGATCATACATACATCCAAAATCATTGGTCTCCCCACCCCCCAACCCCTCAGACCTCAACAATACAGCCATGACACGCAGAGCACACAGTATAGCACACAACCCCAGCCACAGGGAGGGGTAAATGGGTTAAATGTGCCGCATTAAGTGTTTATTCTTGTTGTTATGTCGTGGTGTCCCTATGTATCTCGTATCTATGTATGTATGTCTAAAAGCTATGTACAGACTGCGGACTTCCTGTGAAGGACAATAAAGTATCTATCTATCTATACTTAATGTATTACCTCTGACCCTTTCATCTCAGCATGAATAAACTGAATATGCAGCATATGAAGGTCCTGTGTGATTGCAGAGGGTCTACCTACTATTTATTTAAGATAAAATGGCATTTGAATGTTTTTATGTAACACACATCCAAAAACCAACACTTACTAAGCATTTGAATATTCACATTTTACCGATTGCTGTCATACCAGCTTTTGCTGAAAGTTTGTGCTGCTGAATTCTTGACAAAATCAAATCCCTTTTCAATATCCTAGCAGTATATTGCAACACAGTGCAAGACAATTGCAACACAACATTATGCAAGAATGTCAAGGAAAAGAAATCATGAATTTTTGGGTGACCTTTCTCAGTCTGTCCTCATAATATTTAATGGTCTTTTAAATTGGGAGACTTTCATATCAGAGCCTTTATTTCTTTCTCATAAGTTTAAGCATCCCGAAGGAAGAGTCCCATTTTTCTGCCATAAATGTGATGGCTGAATATTACAAGTGCAGCCTGACCTCTATTATTTGAAGGTTTATTCTTTCTTTTCCAGTAGTGTGATTTAAAAATGAATTGAAAACCATAAGAGCATTTCCACTACTGCCAGAGTGTTCTTGAAGCATTGTCATATTAATCACTGTCAAGCAGTTGTTTAATTCACAGACTGAGGATGCTTCAAAACTGCATGTTTGATATTAATGAAAATACAAACAAAACCACAAAAACAGTCTGTCATATAAAGCCCTGCATGCATGTGAGCAACCCCATATTCTACAGTGGATGAGCAGAAGAGAAACTTAAAGAGGAGGGCAGGTTTCGAGATGACAGAGTTGCATCTAATATCTTGTGCATCGCTGTATGAAACCACACAGAGTGGCTGCATCAAATTTGAATTTGAAATGATTTTATCACATAATGAGCATCCTGTCTGTTTTCAGAATTTTGGTTATGAAACATTGTTATGCAATGTCTAAAATAAGCACAGGGCAGTGCAGTTAGGACTGCAACGTGTGCTCACATTTAGATTACAATGAATCCAGTTTTATTTCTCAAAGGCTATGTAAAATATACAACCTACAATGCACTGTGAAAGTCATGTTAAAACTTATTAGTAAATGATGGATTTTGTGATTAGAAACAGATATGATTAACCTTTTTGTTGGTTTTGTTAGTTGTGTTAGTTACATTTTAAACCAACAAGCATGTCCATGACTCACATGTGTCTGAAATGTATATTTTCCATTTTTAAGTCACTGTGGCCTGACTACTGAGTACATAAAGGTTAGTCTCTTCATAGAAATAGATATTCTTGAGGGAGAGGATTTGTTTGGGGGGTAATTAAAAGGGAGGTTTGTAAGGAGTTGGTTCTATCACAACTGCCTGATAATTATACAAATTAATCTATTTTTTACACTGTGTTGACCATGAGAAATAATATCAGTATAGTACATCAGCATAGAGCATATTGTTCAGTACAGTATCAGAGCATTGGAAAAAATGAGCAAAGCTGTCAGCTATCAGGTGCAGCTGATGGCTTGCAGCACTACAGTACATAACATTAACACTGAGCACATTTATTTTAGAACTAGCAATGATTCACGTTGTGCTGTGAAACTGAGCTGAGTTTCACCTACTGATGTCAGTATATCGGGCTGCAGAAACAGCTATAAAAAACAAGTTTTAAAATAGACAAGGCTTAAGCTAAAAGTTTTTTAGCTGAAGCACATTCTCAACAAGAACACCTGAAGTGAACTGGAAAAAAATAGAGAAACAGACAGGTCTTATGGAAAATGGGAGCTGATCATAAAACATACTGACACCTGTCACATAATATCTGCAATGGTTTCTGTCGCTACAGTCACAAACATCATGTTGCAATGTATTGTGTGACATATCAGGCCGCTTCATCTCCTTTGAATACACTGCTGGGATCTCAATGACATATTGGTGCTGGCTCGTGTTTGTACCATCTGCCTTCTGAACAGAGTGAAGGCACATAGATCATCCAAACCGAACAGAAATAGATGCTTATCACAACGCAATGATAGAAAATCTACATTCAAAACTCTGAATACAACCTATCATCGAAATGTATGCAATTATTCACCCATCCTCCTTCAGAAGGTGGACAATGGGATTTTCATGAGGCACTTTCTGCGTAATGAGCTCGTGAATCTGGAGGAGGAGGATGCATCAGTCACATATTTGTTTTTATTACCCAGTGCAATGCCCTGATTTGAACCCTGTTTAATCCTTGAGTGGGGTTGTCACTCTCAGACTAAGCTGACCCACATTAACACTATTACAGCAAAATAATACAGCAAACCTCTCACTGAATAATACTTTATAGGTACTTTAGGGCATATTGGAGCTTATTTGTTGATATCAAAATGTGAAATATTGTTAAATTCTGGTAAAAAAAAAGATTAGAGCTTCAGCGCCATAACTGTAATACATATACCATTTATTACAGTGACGTCAGAGTCAGCATTCAAGTGATCTTCAACATGCAGATTGCCTAAAGTCCAGCCATATGGTCCTTGTGTGTTCCACTTTTAGGCAGAAATATTCCAGCAATATACCAGACCTGGAGACAGTGGAGTCCATCTGCAAACATTCAGTGTAAACCTGCCTTAAAGGCATCAGGAGCAGGAGGTGAGTGCTTGAGTAAGGTGATGAATAATGACTAATGAAACCATAAAAAAAAATGACGTGAAATAATTAGAACTCATTATTATATTAATCGTTGTTCAATGTTATTTCATCATTAACTTTAATAAAAGCTTTTTGGATATCATTTTTATTTCATTGGACATTTTATTTCAAGCTGCCCGTTATTTACGAGTTCTTGCTCCATTATTCTCCACAACCGTTTGGTGACCCCTGGAAATTATCTCATGACCCCGTTGGGGGTCCCAACCCCACGGTTGTGAACCACTGAGCTAGATCACCAAGAATGCTAAACTAATCAACCAACTGGTGGCTGCTGCTGTAAATACACACACTACAAAGACACAGTAATGGTTAAACCTATTTAGCTGTTAAGCTTCATCTTAACAAGGTTACTAATGCTACTACCTACCTACCCAGCATCAAAGTGGAAGCCAGTGCTAGCAGTGTTAACTAGCTCCTGTCGGCTAGAGCAACCAAAGAGGAAGACTGTCTGACCTTTCGCTCTTCACAGAGTTGAGTGTCTTTCTCTGAGGATGAGGAACATCTTCAGATTTAAAAAAAAACCCTGTATAGCTAGTTAGACACATGTGCTTGTTGAGCTAAAACAAAGTTCTGTAGGTAATGTAATTCTGTATCTGTCTATGTTCATTTGTAGAAGCAGTTAGATGGTTTGACACCTCACTATGTTAACTGAGTTGCTTCTCATTTATTGGCTTTACTGTGGAGATCAAATTCATTGCTATTAATATTTCTGTTGCTTGTGTTGTTCAGTCTAACCTGCATTAAAGTCCATTCTCATCTAGCTAACTGACTATATGATAGATACACAAATCAGCCAGCCGCTGCAGTTATCTGCTGAATCCTTCCTCGTTTTATTTCCTGAAACAGTTTTATGCCTGTGTGCCCAGATCCAACCAAACATAGTTA